CATATAATATTGCTCCCAATAAATTAATTATTATCAAATACTATATACAATTATTTATATAATTTAAATTCAAATTAATGGAAGAACCTAAAGGGATTGTTCGTCATATATAGACATTGCAAGATCCACAATTATCTAGATCATATAGAGGACATGAAAAAACATATTGTCTATCATTTGATCCATAAATGAGATAATTAGCATCTGGAGGAAATGATTCAATAATATATGTCTATAGTTTCAAACCATAAGGAAGACCATTTAAATTTAATGGTCATAAAGGAGCAGTTTACAGTGTTTAATTTTCACCTGATGGTTAAATAATTGCAAGTGGTGGAGAAGACAGGACAATTCGTTTATGGAAGAATTCTGTGTAATTTGATATTAATATGAATTTAATAGTTTAGGAAAGTGTACAGCAATTAAAGGACATATTGGTAGTGTTAGATCATTATCATTTTCTTAAGATAGCAGTATGATAGTATCATCATCAGATGATAAAACAATTAAGGGATGGAATGTATTAAAGAATAATTTTATGTTCTCATTGGCAGGACATACTAATTGGGTTAGATAAGCTAAATTATCTCCAGATTCTAGATTAGTAGTTTCTGGTTCAGATGATTCAACAGTTCGTTTATGGGATGTTAATTTATCAAAAGAATTATAGAAATTCAAATGTGAAGATTCAATATATTCAATTGATTGGATTAGTGATGGAACTACTATATGTGCAGGTTAAATGGATGGAAAAATTAAATTATGGGATGCTCGTTCAATGAGATTAATATAATATTATGAATGTAGTAAAAAATCAGTTAATACAATAAATACTCATCCTAGTGGTAATTTTCTATTATCTGGTGATGATGAAAGCAATTTAAAAATATTTGATTTAAGATAAGGAAGATTAGCATGGTCATTATATTCCCATTCTTAACCAATTAAATAAGTATAATTTAATTATGCAGGTGATTATTTTGCTTCAGCTGGATTAGATTCAAATGTTTTAGTTTGGTAATCTAATTTTGATGAAAATATGAAGCCTTGTAATGTTATTAATTTTGTAGATAAGAATTTATCAAATAATGATTCATAAACATTATCATCTTCAAATTAATTTAAGGTTCCTTAAACTACATTTAAAGCTAATAAATAATAAAATAAAATAAATTATGAAAACTAAACATCCTAATCTTTATTAATTAATAATCAGACTCATTAAAGTCCTTTGGCATAAATGTTATCAACCAAATTTGAAAAAATAGTATCTTAAATGGATCAAGTTACTTAATTGATTGTATCTATTGATAAGAGAATTACTTCAAATGAAGATTAAGTCAAAAAGTTATTATAAGTATTAAGATTATTTTTTAATATATTAGAATGAGAGAGTAAAATCAATTCTTGGAGTTTATGAAGAGTAATATAAAGAACCATATTAGAAAGCAGCTGTTTGGGAGAATTATAGGAATAAGCAATAATAAAATAATAATTAATTGACTCTATAACAATAATAATAATTATAAGATCAAGAACCTGTTTTTGGAACAGGATCATTTATGAGAGATGGAGAATTAGAAGATTTCCCAGAAGAAAGTGAATAGAAATTAAAATAAGAATATGAAGATGAAAAATACAAATTATAATAAGAACATATATTAGAAAGTGATTAAAATCAATAAACTTTTAATGTTACTAGTGAATAGAATATCTTTTAAACAGGAGCTTTAGATGGAACTTTAAGTAATCAAAATAATTATAATAATACATTTTCATTGACTTTCACTTAAAGATAAAACTTATAAGAATAATTGAATAATTTAGGAGATTGGAGAGAATAATTGGAATAAGTATAAAGGGAAGTAATGGAAAATTAATAAGATAATGATTAATTTATAAGAGAAGTTAATGAAGATGAAGAAGAATAATAGGATTAATAGGATATACAACAATAATAGGAACATTAAGGTTAATAAGTAGAAATTCAAGAGGAAGAATATCCAGTTTAAGAAGACTTTTAAGATGAATAAGGAAATTAAGGAGAAGAGGAAATCAGATATTAAGATCAAGGAGCATAAGAATGAAACTAATTAATATATTTATGAATTTTTTTATTATTATTTTATTTACATATGTTGCTCCATCAAAATATTGTTATAATTACAAATGTGCAATAGAATAAAAATAAGGGATAGGCTATTAACAATCTTCTATGTTGCAATCCTAAAATCTAATAGTTAATTTATAATTTACAGTATCAAAGGTTTTTGAAACACTGGCAGTAGACCATACTGCACAAACAATAGCTAATGCATATCCAAATGATGAACTAAATTAAATTTATGATCATTTAATACTTCAGTTACAAAAACAAACTCAAAATTGTCAATAATACTATTGGTGCCAATCCATAACCCAAATAACTCAATATTTTATAGAACTCTATCTGCTTTCCTTATTGTTAGATCATGAAATTCATTAATAAATATAGTAATAACCATCCCCATAATCCAATCCCATAAATATAATTAAATTGTATTTTTCCTGTCTCATGAATTAAATAACTATTTACAAATATTGGCAATAGACCTAATGATGCAACAATTAGGGTGGGACCTGAGAGATCAGGATCTTCTAAATACTCGCTATCACATTTTTAGAAAAAGAGAACACTCATAATTCTTTATTAAATGAGTAATGGCGATGTAATATCAAGGTCTAATTTATTGTTGGGTCTATTGGAGTACCTTCTAATAATGGTATGTCATCATCAATGATATCTTGAGGATACTATTTCGATGAGTCAAACAATAAATGTTTATCTTCTTGATTTTCCACGTTGTCACCTAATTTAATGTTTTCATTTAGTTCATCATTTTCTGTAATTATCAGCAAAAGTGATACATATGTCAAAGGGATTACTCTAGTATTACTTTGGCTTCTCATCTGGATCTATTATACCAAATGGATTTTTGAGTGGCTACATTAAATTAATTAATATGATCTAAAATGGTATTGTATTGAATATTAGATAAAATAGATCTAAAGAAAAAAGTAATTATAAATTTCATCTTGCATTGATGGATAGTCGTTTTTTAATATTTTTGTTATTAAATGAAAAACTCATACTTGTTGTTGATTATGGCCATTACATTAGTATATGGCTTGGAGGAGTCTCTGACCCTTATGAGTTTAGAGTAGATGAATTCATTAGACACATCTTAATTTGACTGTTCACGTCCATAGTCTGAATTCATATAGATGGAGAATTCCTTGTCTTAATGGCAAGACTTAATGGAACATAAGGATTATATAGATCATGATATATAAGTACTTCAAGGCATCCAGGCAAAAGTTGGCCTCAAAGCATCACATAAATAAGTGATCAAATCATTAAGTCAACTTAAATTACCAAAAACATCTACAAAGATAGGCTTAGCTGAAGTTGAAGCACTTAAACAATAATGCGGATGTCTCAAAAATTCTGATGACAATTGTGATGCTCTTTTAAAATTGCTATCCTATTTTATACTTTCCCTTAGAAATGTTTAATCCTAATGCTAATAACATCCAATTACTGTAATTAAAATTAAAGGAAAAATACATGATCTTTAAGTCATTAGAGCTGGATGTGGAGGTACCATAGATATCAAAGGGGATGAAGGTTGTGATACTAAAGAGTAAACAGAATCAACCACAAAACCAACAGATGTTCCTGCTACCGATCCAATCGTATAACCTACTACAGATCCAGTACCAGATGATCAAAAGGATTCAGAAGAACCTGTAGAAGAAACCATAACAGAAGAAACAGTTGATACTACAGAAGAAGAATAGGAAGATCAATAACCCCCTGTGGCTACAGAAGAAACAACTTAACCAGAAGAAGGAGAAGTTGAAGCTGATGAAAAATAACCAGAAGAAGGATCTCCTGATGCTGAAGAAACTGAACCAGCTGTTGCAGAAGAATAAGAAGGATCACCTGAAGAAACAGAAGCTGAAGAGGGAGTTGATGCTCCAGTTGTAGAAGAGGAGGCAGATGTTTAACCTGAAGAAGAAGGAACAGACGAATAGACACAACCTGCTGAAGAAGGAGAAAGTACACAAGAAGAAGTAAATTAACCTGAAGAAATTACAGAACCAGAAGAAGAAATTGAAATTTAAGTACCAGAGGAAGGATCTGAAGAAAATGTTCCAGAAAGTGCAGAAGAAGGATAGGCTGCCAATGAAGAAGAAGGATAACCAGAAAGTACTGAAGAAGGATAAGCTGAAACAGCTGAAGAAGGATAAGCTGAGAGTGCAGAAGAAGGATAAGATGAAAGTGCTGAAGAAGGATAGGTTGAAACAGCTGAAGAGGGTGTTGCTGAAGAAGATGAAGAAGGTGTAGTTGAAGCACCTGAAGAAACAGTCACTTCTGCTGAAGAAGAGGAGTTATAAATAGATGAACCAGCTGAAGAGGTTGATATAGAAGTACCTGCAGAAGAAGAGGCTTGTGAAGAAGAAGAATTGGACTAAGAAGAGGAATCATTTGATGAAGAGGTTGCTGAAGAGGTTAGTGAAGAGGGTTCTGAATAAGAAGGTGGTTAAGTAGCAGAAGAATAAGAAGAAGAATAATCTGGTGGTGAATAAGAAGGAGAAGAGTAATCACAATAACCAGATGCTGAAGAGACTGAAAGTTCAGTTGGAGAACCTTTGGAATTTGAAGAAGAATAAAATGATGAAGTTCCTGCATAAGAAGAAACTACTGCAGATGAAGAAACTCCTGCAGATGAAGAAACTACAGCATTTGAAGAAACAACTGATGAGGAAGAAGGCAGTGTTGGTGATGAACCTGTTCCAGATGATTAATAAGATGAAGAGTAGGAAGTTTTACCAGAAGGATGTAGATAAGTTCCTGAGGATGTTTTAGATATCAGCTGGTTGAGTACAGAACCTATTGCAGTAAGTGATTTACCAGTTACAGAAAGTTAAATAATTGGATTATCATTCTATTTCAGATGGTTATCAAAATTCCCAGAGGCTGTTCCTGAAGGTTTGAATTAGGAAACTAAGTTCTTTGTTGCTGGTTTAGGAAATGCATTGAAATTCTATGTAGGATAAGGAGGATTCCATTTCAGTTCATTTGATGAGAATGGTTAAGAAACATACAAGAATGCTGGTCATGGTGATATTGAAGGACAATGGGTGCTAATATACTTTGGAATCTCTAACTAAAAAGTTACAGGATTTGCCTAAATTTAAGGATAAGATGTTGAGACCATCGAATTTGATGTAAATTTGACATTAGATGAATCTTATCAATTAGTTATTGGTGGACCAGATGGTGATGTTAAATCATTTAATGGTTAGATTGCTAGAGTATTTGCATTCAATGATGAATTGTACACAGAAACTAGTGAATTCACTTAATTCATTACAAATTGTTATGGAATTCCTAAAAATATTTATAGTGGTAAGAGATTAACCATTCCAATCGAGAAGGAGAGAACATTTGTATCTCCAGCTGCCTTTGATTATGATAGCATTTTCGAAAATTAGAAGCCTATGTTACCAGATGAATATTCTGCCAGTGGTTGGTTTAAATGGGAAGCTCCAAATGACTAAAATATATGGCACTCAGGATTTAGATGGACTACCAATAATTAAGAGACAAATCAAAACTTTAGACTTCTAGGAGATAGAGGACTTTCTTTCTTTGTTGGTGATGAGGAAAACTTATAAGGACATGTTGCTTTTTGTACATATTCTTATAAGACTTCAAATGGGTATTTAATTTAATTATGTTAGTAAATCAAAAGTTAATGATTGTAAAATGGTTAAATATGGAAATAAATTGACAGAATGGTTCTATGTTTACTTCGGATACAGTAGACATTTGAATAAGGCTTATGGATATATGGAATTTACACATGAGATGGCTTAAATGGAATTCAAGGATGTTAGACATTATTATGCTAGCAAAATCTATTTCTATCTGGGATAAGATAAGTTCTATCCACCTTTCAATGGCAAGGTACAAGGATTCATGTTGAATTTCTTTGATGGATCATATAGAACATCCAGTTATGATTACAGTATTATTTAATTTAAAATTTAAAATAGCTTTCGGATATTTCCCAAGACCAGTCTATGAATATGATGATTCTAAAGAATTGATACCATCTGAACCAGTATAAAAGAAGAAGTAATTATTTTTATAAATTGTAGATGTCCAAAAGTTGTTGAAATCACTGTTGATAACGCATCTGATGTTTTATGTGCCTTGAGTAGTTATTTGTCTGCTGTTGCATAAGGACATGATCCTGCTTCAGATCCTAAGGCTGAGACCTTCTGTTTCTGTTTGGTCTATGAGGAAGGTATTTATTCTATATTTCAATTTAGAAAATGCATCTCCTGATTTGTTGATGTTGGCATAAATTTTTGGTGGAAGGATCAAATAAAAATCCTCTAATGTTAATTCCTCAATCAAGAAATTGATAAACAAATAGAATGCACTATTAAAGTGATTGTTAGAACATTCAATATTATTTTATTAATTAATATACTCTCATACTAAGGTGGATTTATTTTATTATTTCTATATTATTTAATTCATCCAAAATGAATCTATTTAAGTCAAAGAAAAAAGAAGAACCCAAAAAGAAAGTCACTGTCACCATTGTATTTTAATAATCCTATCTTAGGAACAATTAACCATGTTATTTATGAAATCTAGAGAATACATTAATCTTGACAAATAAAAAAAAATTAATGAAGCTATATAACAAGAAAATAAATTGTTAAGTATGCTCAAGGCTCCTTAGAGAAATAGAAAGGATGAAGAAGTTCAAATTATAAAAATTGTCAATATAATTAATACTATAGAAGCTTATGATAAGGCAATTATGTATATAAATTAATTTATTCTTTTAAGTTAAATCGCCAATATTGATCAATTTAAGAGTTAAATTGTAGCAAGTTAAGGTGACCCCAATAGAGTATTATAATTCATGCCGTAAAATGTATTTTACTACCATTAGTTATATTGCCAGTGTTTGTTATTATATTGAAAATACAAATGATTTAAGAGGTGCTGTTGATCTCAAATCATAATTAAATTTATACTATGGATGTGATATAGCCAATACCTATGAAAGATCAGTTGATCCTAGTGCTAAACTATTATTTGGTATTTTAAATCTCTAATCTCCTTCTGTTTAAAAATATGCATAAGACTTTAGCAAAAAATATTAGGTACTTGATGTTCCAGGAATAAACTATTAACCATAATAATAATAATAAACTTGGATTCCTAATTAATATCCTCCATCTTAATAAGGAGGATACCCACAATAAGGTGGATAAGGAGGGTATCCACAATAAGGTGGATAAGGAGGATATCCATAATTTGGAGGATATCCATAATTTGGAGGGTATCAATAATAAGGAGGTTATCCATAATAAAATGGATTCCCTTAATAAGGAGGTTACCCATAATAATAAAGTGGATTTCCATAATAAGGAGGTTATTCATAATAATAAAGTGGATTTCCATAATAAGGAGGATAGTCACAATAAAGTGGATTTCCATAATAAGGAGGGTATTCATAATAATAAAGTGGATTCCCATAATAAGGAGGGTATCCATAAAATAATGGATTTTAATAAGCACAATAACAAAATCCTTAGCAATAATAAGGTAATTTTTAATAATCGTATCATAATTAATCGTAAACCTAAACATCATAAAATACTATTATTCCTAATACCTAATAAAACTCTAATCCATATGGATAAATATAGTAATTTAACTAACATAATATTTATTCTAATAATCCAGCTGCTTTTTAGCCTTAAATATCTTAACCTTAAATTGGAATAAATCCAAAGTAAGACTCAAATTATAATTACCCTTAGCCATAATTATAACCATCAATATATAATACTTAAAAAACACAAAATAATAATAATGTTCCTTAATAACAATAATTTTAATCATAATAAGAACAGGTAGATCCATTTGCAATTTTAAATCAATCAAATAATATAAAGATGGTAGAATTACCTCCACTACCTTCATAAACAATTGTTTAACCAAATAATCCTTTGGATCAAAGTAAAATGGGAAATGGACTTGTTAGTGAATAGTCTCCATCAAAATTATAAAATCAATAAAATTAAAGTATTTAATAATTCTTATTAAAATAGATGAAACTGGTAATTTTGGATCTAAAAATCCTTTAGGGAATAGCTAAATTTCAAAAGAAAGTATATTAATATAATAAAAAATAGGTAATTTGACAGATCCTTTGAGTGATTTGAATTAGAATATATTTGAAACAACCACGATTGGGTAAGATATGATTCAAAGTCAACCTATTGAAATAAATGAGGGATCCTGTTATGTTAAAGTGGAAATGAATCATGATTTGAGATCTTTAGAAATTTTACATAAATTCAGAACTGGCTTTCCATAATCTATAATTTAATCATTGGAATAATTGGAGAAGGTTGGTTTAAGTATATGAGAGAATCATTCATTTATTTCTATTAATAAGATTATTATATTATTTTTAATTTAAGAGTGAATGAAATTTTATGAGATATTTAATATTTAAATTATTAAACTAACATTAACAAGCATTGAAAAAAAGTAATATCTGCTCCTTCTTTTCTTATATCCCTATCATATATTTACAATGTGTTGATTTTTTTATTCTTAGTGAATACGTCGAATGATGAATATGCATGGACTTAACAACTTTAATAGGATTGTACTAATTTGTTTTTTGATTTGTTACTGTTCTATAGATCTTCCTCCAAACCAATTCTTTCCACCCTCTATGTTACCAGAAAAAGAGAGCTAGAAGAATAACAATTGTAAATTGCACATAGGGAACCTTCCTCTGTAAATAACTGAGGAGACATTGAATCGAGTATTTTCGAAATATGGTTAAATAAAAGAAGTGAAGATAATTCGAAAAAATAGTTAAGGGGTTTAGTTTATAATTTAAATTATATAAGTAACCTTTGAAAGATTATTGCTATGGGTTTATTCTTATGTGTGATGGTGAGGGAGCATATAATGCTGTAAAGGAGTTGAAGTAAAACAGTCCTTTGGGTACCTCATGGACAGTGTCATTTAGTAAAGATAAGAATGATGTATGTTTATATTTGATAACATACTTGAAGGACTCTGCAGCTAATGGCCATTTGAAATTTGATAAGAGTAAAGATGATAAATTAAGAAAGAAAGATAAATCAAAGGAGAGATTCAAGAAAGATAAGACAAAAAAGAAGGTTGTAATATTAATTCATAAACGAATAAGAAATCTGAATCATCTTCATCATAGGATTCTTTTCAAGCAAGATAAGATAAAAAACAAAAAAAATAAAAAAAGAGAAAGCTATCAAGTTCTTCTGAATCATCTTTATCTAAATTGCCAACCAGGAGTGCCCTAGTTAGAATAGAAAGTAAGCCAAATGATAACAATCTTTTCGATATGGTATTTTCAGGTGAGATTTAAAGTCATTCATTGTATTAATAATAAGTATTTATATATTATCTAAAATAGCCATAATCACAATATTAAATTAAACATATTGTAAATGTAAGAGAATTATTTATATCTGGTATTCCTTAATCTAAAACCCAATCTGATATTTAAAGAATCTTTTCTCAATATGGTATTGTAGAAAGAATAGATATAATACCAAAATAATTAGTAAATTTTGCATACGTTAAATTCAAGAAAATGGATGCTGTAAATTAGGCAATTCAAAATTAATAATATATTGCTGAATAACTTGAGAGTGCTGGATAAGTTAAAATATATTAATCAGACCCATTTAAAAGAATTTAGGTAGTAGGTAATGCTGAAGATTGTGAAAAAGTATATATAATAAATAAAATTTAGGATGAAGATATGTTACCTGTGATGTTTATAGGATTCCCTCCAAACCAAAATTTTACTATTGATGAGATATTCCTAAAGAAAATGGCTGAAAAATATGGTGGAAATGTAAAGGGAGTTTAATTCTTTTAACCTTAATAACCTTAATTAAGATCCTATATTCTAATAGAATTTTCATAACTTAGAGATTGTAAAAAAGCAAAAAGGAAGTTTTGCAGATATAAGATATAAATTTTAGGTGATAAGAAATGTGATATTGCAATATTATCTAATTATACAAATAATTCTCAAAATAAGAAATAAGCAATACCATATATGCCATATGCAATAGGTATTAAATACTATTTATAATAGATTATATGGCATCAAATCAATAAATTCCTATGAATCCATAAATAATATCCAGATCATTTTAACCATAAATGACTATGATGTAACCTTATCCAACTCAATCTTAATAATAATAATAATTACAACCATCACTCTTTGGAGATTACAATTAGATACCTCTTATTTATCCTTAATAATAATAATAATAATAAATGATGTATGTTAAAAATCAGTCTTAATTATGTTTACCTACTTAATTATCAATATAACAATAATTACGACCTCTTTAATAATAGCCAATAAATCCTTATTATTAATAGTTAAATTCTTAAACATCAAATCAGAATTACACTTAATAACAATTTATGGATATGATCATGCCTCCAACTTAAATTATGAAAACATAAGATTTAAATAACACTTTTTGGAGTGGATACATGAATAGAGGTAAATAACATAGAGTTGGCATTGATGCTAGATTATATAGTACAGTAATAGATGCAAAAAAAAGTAAGTTAGTTCATAATTTAGTCAACTTACCTTGTAATATTGAAATGAGTTATATATGCTCCTATCAAGATGCTTATTAAAAGGCTATATAAGATTAATCTGCTATTCTCATATTAAGTCCTGCCTAAGAATTAGAAATTCCAAAATTTGAAGAATATATACAATATTTGAAGAGTAAAGTATACAGCAAATTTAATTATAAAATAGTAAAAAGCTGGAGTAATTTAAACAGAAACCTTTTGCATTTATGTGATTCCTCCTGGTGTATAAGAAGCATTATAAATATGCAATATTAACTAATAGGAAATGATAGCTATTTATTGTTATAAGGATTTAAAATTGTGAGAAATTAATCATAAATATTTAAAGTATAAACACTATCAATTTCTTATTATTATAAATTTTATTAATAAAAAATTAAACGTTAAATTTCATGGAGTGCAAACAAAATCAATGTTAACATACTAATCCTATTCCTTTTAACAATAAGTTCTTTTGTAAATTTTGCGGAATCCATATGCCCTAAGATGGAAATGTAGCTATAAAATCAACTAAATTTTTATTTCCTGGTTATATCAATCCCATATAAAATCTAAAAAGTCAATGGAATAGATCAGTTCCTGTTGCCCAATTACCTTCAGATTATTAAAGAGTATCAGTATTATAAATAACCATAGTAACGTTTATCCTTAATTGATTATATGATGGAATGGAGTGAAAAACTAGGTTTATCAATAAATTCTCTCTTCTTAGCTGTTTAATTCTTAGATTATTTTGTATCATAAAAAAAAGTAGACCCAATACAATATAGATTATATGGAGCCACATGTTTAATGCTTGCAGGTATTTTGTCAATCTTAATCTAAATATAGCTAAATCAATAGAATTAGATGAAAGAATCCCTTTTATCAGTAAACTAAGAAGATATACTTATTTACCATATGCAACTATAGATTTCAGAAAATGTGAATGTTAAATAATCAAATAGTTTAACTGGAATTTATAATATACTACATTAATAGACTGGGCAGAGACTGTAATGTCATTAGGAATTGTATATGAATAAGATGAGTTATCTTAAACTGAAACTATTTTGAAAGAAAAAGCAACAAATATAATTTAATTATAATAAAATAATCAACAAACTAAATAAGACAATATTAAAGAATAATTAGAAACTACACCTAAAAAATCTACTTTTATATCTAAAAATATTTATAACAAAGTTTAAGAAAAATTTACTAAACTATGTTTGACTCTCTTAAAAGATGGATCATATCTAGATAAAGATCCTTCTGAACTGACTCTATCTCTAATAGGTTGTGTTCGTAAAATATGTGGTCTAAAACATCCATTGTATAATTCTTTAATTATTTATAGACCTAATTGTTTACTAGAATTATATGAAAATATCTAACCTAAATTCCAAGATTCTATTGCTGATTTATTATCAAAATAAACTAAATAACCAACTTCTGTTATTGGAAAGGCATTCATAAATGATCTAGACTTTTTCAGCTTATAAAATTACAAAAACCGAATTCTATGAGAATACTATAGTTAAGTATATACTTATTTAATTATTATTATGAAATATCCATTTCTATTATTTAGACATTTGTATTTTTAGGCAGTATTCTAAGTCAATTAGAAAAATATGTTTTTGAGAACAGTATTCTAGAACTATTTATCAAACACTATCAAAGTTTTGTTTTGTATATTTATATATAATATTAATATTGCCCAAATTCATTCTTCAAGCATTTTTTTTCCTTTTTCTGCATATTCTTTATTTAATTCTTCCCAATTTTCCAAAACCATTTCAAATTACTCAAAGATCATAGAATGTGTCAATCTATTTCTAGATGGTCCAACTTCCATTGAGTAAATCTTATGTGATGTATTTGTTTCAACTGTTCTATTTAAGTAAACACCATAACTATGATTAAGTTAATATTATTTACACATAATGTGGAATCCAAATAATAGCTGCTAAACCAAATGAAAGTCTTGTTTCTCTTCCAATGTAATCATCATAAAGACCTCTAAACCACCAATGTCTATTTCTTACTGCAATAGCTGCTCCCATTTATTTAAATATATTTAATTAAGATATATTTTATAAGAGTATATTCTAATTATAATTCAATCTAAATGATCTTGATATATTAGAAGATATAAATATATAGACAATTATCATAGTAGTATATAATGAAATGATAATTTTTGAATATATATCAATAGATTAATAAAAATTATAAGGAAATATACTAATATAGTATAAAAATTTTAAAAGTGTTTTAAATAATAAATTAAAATTTATAATATTAACAGTTAGTAAAATGTATTATCATTAAGCATTGAATACAAATCAAAGTCAGACATTTGTAAATACTATTAATACTGAAAGAGTAAGATGTCAAACTTAACATTATAAAGAGAATTCTAAATCATTTCTCTATTAATAACCAATTTAATAGCAATAGTAAAACTTGAATGAATAGTTATTAATATAAAATTAAAAGGTATTAAAATAAAATGTATAATAATAGCTTAGTGATTAAAATGTTAGATTATAAAACGAATGTAAGAGACTAGAATATCATTTGAATTTAATTTAACAGAATTTTTAGCAATTAAAATAATTGTATGATTAAGATTAATTGGAAATGCAACGTATTACACATTTTTGTCATTAATAATAATAAGAACATAATTCAATGTAAACAAGAATATTAGATTTGGAATAAGAGAACTTTTAACTTCATCATGAAATAGATCATTATAAGAAAAATTTAAAGGATTAAGAATTCATTGAGAATTAAAGAAGAGAAATTATGATTGGTTAATAAAAATTGATAGAACTTTAAGAAGAAATGAAAAAAGAAGTAGAATAAATAAAACATGATCCTTTAATGGAAATTTTGGAATCTTGGAGAGATCGAGCATTAAAATCATGCAGTTATAATAGTTAATAATAACCAATGTAGAAATTTAATACAACGAAAGAAAAATATTAGAAATTGACAAGATTAACAATGTAAGCAGCTGAATTATTAAGTTTTAAATTAAATTATAAATGATATCTTAAAATAATTAAATTGATTTAATAATCTTAAAGTTTTATATTCACTTTCATTATTGTATTTCAATTTAAAGAATCTTTTTATCATCCCAAAAAAGAAATAATAATTATATATATATATTAGATAATCTTAATGAATCTTAATTTGTAAGAGAATATGAATTAAAATTCAATTATAAAGTCATTTGTAAAAAAAATAAAATATTAATTAAAATAATAATAATCAATCTGTAATTATAAAGGAAATTTTTGAATTATAAAGAATTATTTCATTAATTTACATATAATTTTATTAAGTAATAGGTTAATATATAATAAAACTAAAAAAACAATAAAATAAGGAAATAAATTTGGAAATTGCTTTAAATATACATAGAGATTATTAGTCAAAAATTGAAATAAAAGAACATTAATCTTCTAAATAATTTGAATATCAAAGTAATATGGAAAGATAATGATTGAGAGTAGAAAATAAGAAATCTTAATGATTATAATAGATTTGAATTAAAAAAAAGAATAGTAAATTGATATTATAAAAATAAGAATAACAGAAGTATTCTAAATTTAGTATTGCATTTGATTATAAATTTAATTTATATTATTTTAATAAATTAATAGATATATATTTTGTTATCAAGCTTTTAAATTAATTATAATTGCAATTATATTAGAAATTCAATCCAATATATTAATACATAAGCAAGTTTGATATTAATTAGAGAACACAACTTTTACTTTTTTATATTTATTTGTATCTATAGCTTACATTTTTCTTATCTCCAAACAATATATTGGTTTAAGCAAGTGACTGGTTAATTTGGCATTATAATAACCCTAAACTAAAATATTGATTCAAATATTTACATAAATTGTAATGCAACAAATTCAATTTGTGATATTGACGTATTGAAATATTCGATATTTTATATATTTAACCACAGATTCGGTTGTAGTATTTTAGGAATTAATTAAGTTCTTTTATTCGATATATGTCTTTGATTGTTAGAAATATATCAAGCATTAGAGAAGAATGGAGATAACTCATGAAAAAGAAGATTAAAAAAACTAAAAGAAAGAATTAATATACTATACCATATAAGTTTGATGATGATATTTAGAATACTAAATAAAAAGATGATTCATTGCTGATTGTATAAAATATTCCAACAACAATCCCAAATAACAATATTTTCAGATTAAAAACCAATATTTAGTTTTCTTTAAACATAAACAAGGATTATTCATTAGGTTCACTATTTGTGGACCCTCATTCTAACAATTACAAAATTATTAGAATAGATAAAAGGAAAAACCTCTTCATACTTACTTTAGATTAAATAGATAGACCTATAACTCCACCAGAAGTTCTGTATTCTATATTTAGAGATAGAAACACAGAATTGGCCTAAGCATTTATGTAATATAATAATAGAAACCTTGAACCTACTAAATGCAAATTGTACACGATATAAGAAATGTTAGATTTTGAATAAAAAATTTAAGGGATGCCTTATGCAGTTTATGTAAATATTTATAAAGATGGCATATGGAAAACATTTTAAAAGATTTTTAACTAAGAATTACTACAGATTTTGGCTATATCAGAAGAGATGCTATTTCATTATTGTAATGAAACTAAGTTAATTCCTATAAGTGCTTATTTTGATCAGAATGATGAATAGTTGAATGTTTTTTACAAAATATTTAAAGGAATTGTTGGTCAATAATCAATAAAACGAGAATATATGAATTACAATGGAGAACAATTTACTGCTTCTCTAATAGTTTAATGTTTCTTTATTTATGATGAAGAAAAAGATATGTTGTTTGATTATACATACTTTGTAACAGATTGTGATAAGAAATGGTTATCTTAGGAGAGAGTCAGATAGAATGAGTTGGATTATTTTAATATCAAACCTAATTCTTGTTCAACAGAAGAATCCTCTTATTAAGAGCCATTAAAGAGATGTGGATTCAAAATTTTGAATTAGAAGTGATAAAATATTGTTAATTATTATTCATCAATTATATTCTTATAGTTAATGAATAAAATTATAGAAATTAATATATTATTTTAATTTTATACTCAATAAAAAGCCATATCAGATATTTGATCATAAAAATCCTAATACAATATATATATCCTATTGTCTCATTTTATCAAAAATTTCTATCTATTTTTTTTTATTAAATGATATTCTTAATATTACAAAGGATTTAAATTTAAAATATCATCTTAGAATATTGATAATGAAAATGTTATTATAAAAATAAAGAAATTCAAACAAAAAAGGATTTTATTTTATTTTAATTAATTGATTATTGAATTCATTAAAAAAATAATTTAAATCAATTTAATTGATTTCATTTAATAAATATAATCTTAGAACTGATTTCCATTATTTCTATTTAATAATAAGGATATTAAAGTTCAATTACTTTAAATTTATAATTTATTATAAATCATTGATCATCATTAGCTTCCTCTTCTGGATTATTCCATAATGTAAGATTATCCCTTAATAATTACATAATGAGTGTGCAATCCTTATAGTTTTCTTCATTTACAGAATCTACTTGAGCAATTGCTTATTCAAAGGCATCATTAGCAATTCTTATAGCTTCAGCTGCATTTTAAAGAATTTCATAATAAAAAACAGATTGATTTAGATGTAATCCTAATCTAATAGGTGAAGTAGTAGACAAATTTGATTTTGCTAAAACATCAGCATCTCTAATTATTAATAGATTATTTACTTATAGGCTTGAGTAGCTTATTCAACAGCTGCATGATATTCATTATCTAATAAAAATTCAGCTAAATATCTATTATAATCTCCTTTCATTTTTAAATAAAACACTCTACTATCAACTTATTTTGCATTTAGATATAATGTAGTATCTATTAAATTCAAAATTTCAGCACATGAATTTTTCAATTCTCCTTCAATTTTATGTTTATAGTTTCTAATATAATTCAGAGTATATTAATCAGTTTATTTTCTTGATTCTTTTTATTCAATAGCAGTTAAAACTCTTAATTCAGCTCTTTTATTACCAACCTATGATAGAGTAATAAAATTGATTACCACATTTTTATATGCAGCTGATAAAATGCTTCTTTCTTCTTTATTAAGTTCTTAATCAAGAAAATGTTTAATAAATTCTATCATATCATTAAATCTTTCTGTTTATTGAGCAATTTTAGCTAAGAATAGAAATTCCTCTCTGCTAAATTTATTCATATTATTAATTATATATATATTAGTTTGATTATTAGATAGAGAGATTGGAAGTAAATGTAATAATAGAAAATCATAATATTTATAGAATCATTCTGTTAAATATAGAATTACGTAAAAAATGTAATAAGACAGTGAAAAATTAATCAGTTTATAATTTATATATAAAATGTCATAACCTGTTCTAAATAAAGTTAGAGAAAGATTATTCTTTTTGTCTCCAACAGTTTAAGCTGGTTGGGAACCTGAATCAAAGAGAGAAGATTTTGAAGAATTAAAGATACTTGGATAAGGTATTGATATAATTATTATGATATTTGAATAGGTGCATTTGGAGTTGTAAAGAAAGTAACTCACAAGAAAACTAATATTGTATATGCAATAAAAATAGTAGAGAAAGCAATGCTTAAGAAAACTAATATGGTTGAATAAATGTAAAATGAAGTAAAAATAATGTATTCTTTAAATCATCCATATATATTGAAATTGTACAATCATTTTGAAGATGATATAAATGTATATTTGATTTTAGAATTTGTTGGAGGAGTAATATTTTAAATTAATTTTAGGGATAATTATATGCAGTCTTATGGAGATAACCATAAAAGAAATTTGATGAAAAAACTTCAGCCAAATTTATACTTTAAGCATGTCTAGCTTTAGAAAATATTCATTCAAAAAATATTGTTCATAGAGATATTAAACCAGAAAATTTATTATTAGATGAAAAATAAGATATAAAATTGGCTGACTTTGGTTGGTCTAATTTCTTAAAACCTAATGAAATTAGATAAACATTTTGTGGTACATTGGACTATTTAGCTCCAGAAATGTTAGAAAAATCTAGATAACATGATCATTAAATAGATATTTGGGCTATAGGTGTTCTCTGTTTTGAATTATTAACTGGATTAAGTCCATTTGCTCCATAAATTAATATCAATAATTAAACTTTTGTTGAAAAAACAACTAAAGACAATATAATAAATTTAAGATTTTAGTTTCCTACATCATTTCCACCATTAGCATAAGATCTAATCAAAATGATTTTAGTTAAAGAACCAGGAAAAAGATCTACTTGTTAATAGATTAAAGAACATTAATGGATAGTTTGTAATAATAATTATAATAAACTTATAGAAAATACATAACATGTTAAAATTCCAGCTTCTCTAACTGTCTAATAAGAGAAAAAAATAATTCAGAATCCTGAAATTGAAAGTTTACAAAAAGATGGTAAATTAGTATTTACTAATGATCAAATTTACAGTTTTTCTAGACCAGATTCTGTATAATTAAATTTATTAATATTAGATTATTGTTAAAGATTTTTTACAAGGAGATAATACCAATAATAAGTTAGTGGAGGCTTTGAATAAAAAAATGAAAGAAAAAGATTCAAAAATTTAAGCTTTAGAAATAGAAAATTAAAAAAAATAATAGGAAATTAATGAACATTTATCAACTATTGATTTAATGAAAAAATCTGGATAAGCAAGTTAAGAAATTTAATCTATGCAACATAAATTAAAGTTATAAGATGAGAGATATGCATTTATGAAATAATAATATGAATAGCAATTATAAAAGAATATCGAATTAGAAAAAAAAATAAGAGAATTAGAATCACAAGTATATTATTGAATTCAATAATATTAGAGCAATTAAATAGAATAAATGAAATCAAAAATGAATAAATATAAGGAAGAAGCTGAAATATTCAAAACAAGAGCTAAAAAAGCAGAAGAACAAGTCTAATAAATGGTTATTTCAGGAATAAATGAGAAAGTTCAATTATATATTTATCAATAGGAATTTCAAGAAGTACCTAAATAATAAGAGTAAGTATCCAATGTTGACGATCTCTTGAAGAAACTATAAAACAAATATGATACAAAATCATGATTATTTAATATATTATTATTATTAAAACATATTTGATCAATTTCATTTTTCATCCCAATTTTTTTCTTTATTTCTAGAAATATGGTTATCAATAATTGGTTCTATAATAATAAATGAAAAAATAAAATTATCATAGAAATGGTGGAACCAAAAAGAAGCATTTAACATTTGATTAAAAAGTTATGGTCTTAAAAAAATTAGGACCGAAACCATCTAAATTAAGAATTTAAGCTATGGCATAATAATATAATATCTCATCATCTACAATTATGAATTGGATTGAAAAAGGAATTTGGACATAAATACCATCTGTTATACCAGAATTAGAATACTAATAAAATAAATAAAAATTAAAAAGATAGAGAGAAAACTTTATTGAACTTGATGATACAGATTAAAATAACACAAGAAATTTAAAAAAAGAAATTGATGAACCTTAATCAAATTTATATGATTAAATAGAAATTATATTATGAGGACTTAATTCTTATTTTTAATGATAATCAAACTTAATTTATTTTTTTTATTTAGTATTACAAACTTGTAAGAAATATATTTATATATATCTAAATCAAGTCTATTAGCATTATTATTTATTTGTTAAATGAATAAATGGTTTCTTGTTTTTCATAATCAAGAATTAGAAGATCAATTTTAATAAGGATTAAAGCATTAAATAAGGAAATAAGTTTTTGTTGGTACATTGATTGGATTAGTTATAATAGTTGGATATGATCTAATAGCTTAAATCCAATCAAAAGATTACTATCATTTTATATTTAATCTAATCTTTTTGGGAATAGCATTAATCTTAACTTTAGTTATTTGGAAAAAGCAATACTTAATAAAATATGCACTAATTATAATAAATTTAGTTATAGCTTCAGTCTAATTTTAATTAAACCCATCTATAGAATAGTAATACAATTATATTTTTGGATAATCCATTATGGCATCTCATGTAATAATTATAACAACAGCAGATTTTAAATAATCTATTTTTTAAATATTTGGCCTTGCTTTGATTAGAAGTCTAATTATGTATCTAAAAACAACTAAAATTGATCTATAAATGTATTTTTATATCATAATAATTATGGTATTTTAGATTTATGTTTAGTATATAACAGATTTAGCACAAAGAAAATAATTTTTATTAACTATAAAAGAAAATCACTGGGGTATTTATTTTAGTTTATATTTAGAAAACTTTTTTCCAAATTTAATTAGAAAACCTTACTACTTTTTTAATTTTAAAGACAACATTTTTTAATTAACTCTAAAAAATGAAAATCTTCAATTTCAAAAAGTCAAAAATGATTTATGTGATGGATGTAATTTAAGAGAATTACTCAGAAGTTGTAAATTAAATACTATTTCTCTTGAAAATTTAATATTAAAGAATAATTGTTGTTCAAATCTTGATACTTTAAGAAATAATATTTAAAATTATTCCTTTAAAATTAATAATGTTGGAACATTTTAATTAACATTTTCAAAATTTTAAACTGATAAAATTGAATATATAATTATTTTAGACAGCTTTGAGAGTATATCAGAAAATACCTAAAGATAAAAGAATTCTTTAAAAAACTTTATCATTTACTAAACTAAATTATTTACTTAACTTAGTAAGAATCCTAAAATAATTTATGAAAAATTAATAACATAAAATCTAAATATTTTATCTTTACTAATATAAAGTGATAGAACAATTTCTTAGTTTGATTTAATTTTAATAATTACAAAACTGAGTAAAGTATTAGGAAAAGAAATAATTTAAATTTAATCAAATAAAAGAATAATCAATATAATAGGTCTAAAAATACATTTGATAATATACATTTTTCAAATCTTTATAATAATAAATAAACTAAAACTTATAGAAAAAGTAAGAGTAAAAATAATAGACTAAGATATTTTGATTTGTTTTCCATTCTCCAATTTAGAGACTATTATTGAGTAAACAAGAAAAAATTATATTTGTAAATCTCTTAATAATTAATTTAAACTATTAATTACAGATAATTCTTTATTAATTCATTTGAATGAAGATTTCTATTTGAGATAACCATGAAAATTTTATTTATAAAGTTTTGTTTTATATTTATTTCTTCATTTAAGTATCTTACTAAATATATTTAATATTTTTTATTTAAATATAATAAATAAGAAATTTATACTTTTTATTAGATATATAATTAATTTTATTAAAGTAAAAGAAAAATTAAATGAATCATGATTATATAGGAGCTATAAAAATTAAGGATGGTGTATTTTTAGGGGATCAATTTGCATCTTAAGTATATCTTTAAAATTTTATAAGGATTTGGAATTTATTGTCACAAATAAAGTATCAAGAATAATAAATTGTGCATCAAAATAGATTTCAAATCATTGGGAATCAATTGGAATTATATATTTGTCATTACCATGGGTAGATAATGATCAATAAGTATTTTAAAATATATATTAGATTATTTTTTAATCAGATGAAAGTATAAATATTGCAATAAAATTCATTGATGATGCTGTAATAAATGGGGAAAGTGTTATTGTTCTATCAGCAAAAGGACATAATAGATCAGTGGCAGTTTTATGTGTTTATTTAATGAAGAAATATAGATGGACTCTTTATAAGACTTTATAATTTATGCATAATAGAAGACCAGATCTAGAAATCAAAGCTCATTTTTTTAATTAACTTTTATCTATAGAAACTCGATTATAGAAATTAGGATATGGAGCAAAGACATTTAATTGGGATGAAATATATACTTAAGGAGATAATGATGAAATAATCTTAAGGAATACTTATTTAAATTCTTAGGCTTAGGGTGTTGCAGAATTTAAGGATCACGATTCTAAACCAAAAGAATACAAGTTATTTTTATATTATAATTAGATTAACATTTGCTGATAAAATTACAATGTAAATACCTCCTTATGATAAAATTATATTCTCAAAAAGTAAAACAACATCTAAAGTTATTAAACCTATAATAAAGGAGTCTGGTTCTTCGAAATAAATTGACTCTACATTTCAATTTCCATAGAAGTAACAATAATAAAAACTAAATTACGAATAGAGTACAAATATTTATGATAAATTATCTCAAAAATAAAAATAAATTGAATAACCAATATAAAGTCCCTTGTAAATATCTCCTATTTAACCATAAAGACCATCATCTGTATAATAAAGTTGTAAATATATTCCAATAATGTAGAACATCATAAAGTTTAATCAAATAATTATATGGATTCTAGAGATCAGTTTTATTAAAAATCATAATAATAAAATTAACTTGCAATTACTGGTACACGTCGTCCTCAAACAGCTCCAAATTAGTTAAAGGCTCCTAGAGTTTAAACGACTCCTTATAAAGGAAATACAAGCTAAGGTTATAAATATGAAATAGGTGTATAACCTAATTCTTAATTTAAACCAATGAAAAAAAGAGCATAATCTCCAAAGGCAGTTTATAATATTACAAATCCATATGTATAAAGAGAATTTAAAGCTAAAACATGGAAAAAATGATTTGTTTAGCTTCATCTTTTATCTATTTTTAATTTTTAGTACATTATTCTAAACATTAGATTATCTTAAAATGGAAAATAAATTATTAAATAACATAAAATTATGAATCTATCAAAATTTTATTCACATAATAACCAATTAAATCGAAAAAGAAAAAAGTAAAAGTCACCAAAGGACACTAGTATGGATACACCTCCTATTAAAAGATCAGTGACTTATAATAGTGATTCAGATTTAATAAGCAAGATTGTTAATACTGAAAATTTAGTTGATTTAATAGAAAAAATATAAAAGCAAAAGTAAGATCCTTACATTAAGAATGAACCTCCTTAAACATTAACTTTACCTCCCATTATAAATTAAATAGAAAGATAACATAATATAACATAAAGAAATTAAAAAAAAAAATAAGAGAAAGAATATATTCCATTTACTTATCCAATTAATCCTAAGAAAATTGCATATTATTAAGAGAATAATCTATATGGAAAATTCATAGAACCCACTGAATATAAAAAAATAAATTATGAATCCATAAAAACTATGTAGAAATATATACATATTTTAGTGAAACTGCGATATCAGAATAATTAGCCAGTGAAAGTAAATTAAAAAGGTCAATGACTGAACGTAAAGAGGAAGCACATAAAAACAAATTCAAATTAATTTAGTCATCAACTGAAGATAATTTAGAAAATGAAAAAATTATAAAAAATTATACTTTGTCAAAAGTTGATTATGAAAACTTAGATTCTCTTTATAGTAAATAAGGAAAAATGAATAAAATAATAAAAAATGCATTAAAAATTAAATCACAATCAAGAGATCCTGCAAATGCTTCAAAATCTGTTTTATCAGAAAGAATATAGCTATAATTAGAATTAAAAAAGCAATATGAATAATCTTTGGATTTAGCATTATAAGGTTATATTGTTTATGATGATAAATAATTTGAAAAAAAACAAGCAAATTGGTCTTCCTTATTACAAAGATTGACTTAAAAATAGTATACAAATCGAAATGTTAAGTAGTAATCAATTCATTAAAGGAAATAACTCTATGTTAATAAAACCCTCGATATATAAGATAAATGTTCGGAAATATTATATGAATGAATTATGGCTAATATATATACTATATATTGAAAATTAAATATAAACAAATTTTAGATTAATTTATTAACATAAGCAGGGTGGCGAAGTGGAATCGCGTTGGGCTCATAACTCAAAGGTCGGTGGATCGAAACCACTCTCTGCTATATTTTTATTTTTAATATTCTAATTCTTAATAAGAAGCTACATAAATCTTTAATAATAATTTCAATAAATTCTTTAATAATAATTTTGATAAATTCTTTAATATTTCTCAAATCAATTTTAGGCTGTTTTCCATATATATAATTCACCATTTTATTATCCTGTACATAATAATTGATGATTATTTGACAAACAAAAGTTAGGATAATAATCCTATTAAATACTAAAAATTTGTTATTATTATTCTGATGGTATATTCCAAATTCGAATATCTTTGGTTGAAGATGATATAATTAGATTAGAATGATTAGAGAACTAAACAGTCCAAATAAATGATGTATGTCCTATGAATTCTAATATGGGTTCCCAATTTTAGACTTTCCATAATTTTACAATTCCATCTTCTCCTCCTGTAACCATATATTTTAAATCTTTTGAGAATTGAATACAATTGCATGTAGTTTTATGAGGTTATACTTAATGGACAATTGAAAAATTATTCTAGATATTCCAAATAATAAGTTATTTATCTAAAGCAGATGTAGCCATAAATTTACAATTGTTAGAAATAGCTAATCCTTTAACAGAACTTTTGTGATGTTTTAATATGCGTGATGGTTCAGGTTTAGTTTCATGCCAAATAACCACTTAATGATCTTAACTAATAGATACCAATTATTAAGATTATGGTACAAATTTGATTCTTTCAACTGTCTTTGTATGATATTTTAATCTGAATACTGGTTCTAATGTATCATTAATATTCCAAATTCTAATAATCTAATCATTTGAACCACAAGCAGCAATACATTAACCATCATCTGAAACATCAACACAAAAAGCATAGTCGAAATTATCGCTTATCTAACATATTTCTGTATGAGTAGAAGTATCCCAAATTTTTAATTTACCTTCACTACTTGCTGTTATCACCTTACTACAATCAGGAGTTATCACAACAGAATTTATTGCAAAATCATGTGCTGGTATAATTACTGGAGTAGATTTAAATAATAATTTATAATCTGGAACTGTGCTTTCCTAAAATATTAATATTTATATTATACTTCTGCTTCTATTTAAAGTACCCGTTCATATATCTGTTTTATTTATTATCTTGTTGATGACAATTATGTAAAAATTGGTTAAAATTATTCACTATAGAGTTGGGATTTATTAATATTTTTGAATTATGTATATAGTGTTAGATAACTTAAATTTTCTGATAAATCTTATAAATCATAAATTTCTAACTAGTTTTAATTCATTATTTTTTTTATTAATCTTGTATGATCAAACTTTTCTTGAATTTCTAAAACTTTTGATTCTAATTATTCTATGTCATTAATAATATCCTATTTCAAGTTTTTAATAACCTTAATCACATTTGATTTTGTTATTTTTTAGCATTCCGTAATATTCTTCACTAATTCTTCAATATCTTCAAGAGGTGTCCAATTAGGATAAGTTGATTTATCTTTTAAACAACTTTAGCATAAAACACGATTTTTCATTGAAAATTTTTCTGTGATGCACAAACTTGTTATTTCATTATTATGTCTTGGACATTTAAGATTTTTAGATCTATGTTAAAAGGAATTAATCATAAACTAAATATAAATTTAATTAAATATCAATTAAATATCATCTTACATCATAAATAGAATGCTTTGATAATAAATTCTAAAAAAAATATATAGATTTAATATTGATTTCATTTTTTTATGTTTATTTTTTGAGATATATCTAATTAAAATTCTTTAAATAAATAATGAAATCAATCTGATTATTCCCATATCTTAATACATTATCTTTTCATAGCATAAATATATTTCTCATTTGAAGAAACCTTAAAACTTTTTGTGTTTTTTAAATATATAACTCTTTAAAGTTTTCTATTTGTGAATGATGTGATTTCCAAAGAAAATTCATTTAAAGAATAAATTTTCATTAATTATTGACCTAAATATTAACTAATCTATTATTATTAATAGGATTTTCTAAACAATAATTTACCTGTTTATATATTGAATACTTTAAATTAAGTAGTACTTGATAAAAATAATATTGAAGATAGTATTTAGCATCTATTCATTATACTATTAGCTATTCGTATTGATTTATAGATTTTATTGGTTTTTATAGAATAGAAATTGCATTTTTGTATGTAATTTTGTTCTATTCCTAATAAAAAATCATCTTTGAAGAATAAGATCATTTTTGGTTAGGTTTAACATCGTATTTTATTTTATATTGTATTATTGATAAAGTTATGAACAAAAAATTTATTTTTATAGCAAAAACAAATCAAATTTTAATTTTAGTGAAATGCTGGAATTGTTAATGGATTAATTTATGATTTATATTCCAATGTTTTAATAGTTTTAGAATCTTATTATATTTCAAAGAGTTTAAGCTTATTATATTCTTCCACTATTAGAAGATAAGATTGGTGAATTAATATCTTTGAAACTAAACATTTCATTTGAATAGTAGTGCTTTTATATTCATTGTCTCTTATATCAATAAAGATTAGTTTATTTTATGTAATGCAAATTAAATTAGATTCATCTTAATTTAGACAAATTTCATAAAGAATAATCTTTTTATTGAACTTTATGGGTGTCTTCTAGATATAAGTGCTTTATAAACTTTATTATTACATTATAAATAATTTGAATAATAATTATTATAGAAAAAAAAAGGAATTAAAAATTCATTTTATTTCAAAATTTTTGTAAAAGTCATAATCCTTATCCTGCTTATCCAGATGACCCAGATAATAATCAAAAAGTTCTTCTCCAGCTGTAACTTTAGGATAAGTAAGTTCTAAGTAATTTAAATTGAATTTATTAGGAATTGGTAAAATCCAATAGAGGATGTTTTTACCAAGTAGTCTTATTAATTTCCATTTAAAATCTGCATAATATACATATTTATTGCCTCTTTATTCATTATAAGTAGTCAAATCTGGTAATTAAAGTAATTTATCTTTTAATAATTAATAAATTAATTAATAACCTGCATAAATCATAAACAATTGAAATAATTTAAAAATAACTTCAATGGATATCAAAGTATAAACGGAAGACCATTATAAATTTATTAATCCGTAATTATGTAATTGTTAAAGTTAATTAAAAAACCAAATTAGACATGAAATCCCTTGCATTATTAACACTATACTAAAGTACATTAAAAATTGGCAAAAATATTTTAAATTTTTATAGCCAACACAACAATTAAACCAAAAGCAATGATGATCTCTAAAATGAATACATTTTTTGCAAGTTTAACAATGATGAGTCTTTGGGGGTTTCCATTTATTGTTGCATTTCTAACATTTTTTATTCAATTATTCTTTATTTACTTTAATAAAATTGAGTTCTAAGTTTTTTTATTACATTAATTCAACAGGAGTTTCAGTAATAGTTATTGGACCTGGTTGTGTATATACAATTTAATAATGTGCAAATCCAAGTAAAAATAAACTAATAAATGAACCTATCATAAATGTTAATCCACAATTATTATCCAAATTAAAGTAGGCAGATGCTATATAAAAGAACCATAGAATATAATTGAATGGTATTTTTTGTAAATTCATAGAAGTATATAATTTAAATTTTTAAAAATAAAATAATTCGTTTAAATATATGAATGGAAATGAGAAAAACTTCATTAGACTAATTTAAGAAAGTTAGGTACTCTTTATTATTTGGATGATATTTATTTTCTATAATTAATTATGGCTGCTCTAACTTAATGATTAACTTTTAGATTGTTTTTAGAAAGTTTATCATAAAAATTTTGGTACTTATCAGGATCGAAATAAGTATCTTTCAAATGTGGAGGTAACACTGATGGAGAACGAAAATATGGATTATATATTCTCGGTTCAATCATTTATTAAGGTTCATCATTTATAATTGCTTGAGCATTTAATAGTTTTTTTAACACAAAATCAATCTCGTTTCTTCTATCATGTAACTATTATTATTGTTGTTATTTTTGTTCTGTTTTTTTTGGTTATGGTAATAAAGTTGCATTTGATGAATTCCTACTTAAAATACTTGTTTTGTATAGAACTTATTCTTAAACCTTTTCTAACAAATCTTGAGTACTAGAATAATAACGATCTGTTTATATAGGTGGTATTTTTTATTTAATTTTTCTTAGTTATTTCTCAATCGATTGATTTCTAGCTGTTCTTATTTCTGTATAATCAGGAGTTGAATCTTTTATTGGTCTTGGCATTGTCAAAAATAATAAATTAGAGTTTTTACGATTGAACATTAATATTATTTATTTATATATATATATATATATTTTTATTAAGTTTTTTGAAAAAAGAGGTTCATAAGTTGAATTACTATTTTATTTGTAGTACTTCATTTTCATTTGTAGCAATCAACAAATCAACTCTCTCCAAATATTCTAATTCATCTTATAATTTTTTGACTATTTGAGAATGTTTCTTTTCAGCCCTTTTAAGGAATTTTTAAAGCTTTTCTTGAACATTTTCAAATTATTATTATTAACCTTATGGAATTCTTGGAATAATTGGTCCTGGTTTATTTCTTAATGTATTCCAATTAATTGAATGTAAAAATGGATGTTTTTTAATTTACTCAATAGATTCATGACCAATCCTTTAATTATAATCAGGATTTAATAGTTATTTCAATAGATCATAAACACATTCTGATATTTAAGATTCTGGATCATCTCCAATATCTGGCCAATCTATTTTACTTTCCAAAATATTAGAAAATATTTTATCTACAGATTCATCATTAAAAGGAGGAATTCCAACTAAAAATTCAAAGAGTATTACTCCTAAAGACCAATAATCAAGTGTTTTATTAGATGAAGATATTCCTTTAATAATTTCAGGTGCAATATAATCAGGAGTACCAACAATTCTTCTTCTTTCTTCTTCAGATCCTTTATCTAATTGACTATTATTGGATCTAGATTTTTTAAATGATGCTCCTCTTTAAATGATATATCCAGGTGAAGAAGATAGATCCTATTTAACGATATCTCTTTAACTGGCTTTTCTTTTAACCATCATTTTATTAAATCCTAATTCACTCAATCCAAAATCAGCTAATTTAATATGACCATTCTAATCTAATAAAATATTTTCTGGTTTTAAATCTCTATGTACTATATTATTACTATGTAAATATTCTAATGCCAATAGAATTTCAGCAAAATAATGTCTAGCAATATTTTCATCAAATGCCTAAATAATAATAAATGATTACTCCTTCAATCATTAAAATTTTAGCAAAATCTCCACCAACCATATATTCTTATACAAAACATAATGATGATTAATGTTAGAATGAATAAAATGCTTTAACAACATATTCTCCAGTTAATATTTCAAATATATTTCTTTCTTATTTTAATTAAGTTAATAGTCTTTCAAATGGTCTATTTGAACAATTTATTATTTTCAATGCATAATGATCACCTGTTGCTATTCTTTTAACTAAAAATACTCCACCATAAGCACCTTATCCTATTTATTTTATAAATTAAAAATCTTTTAAACATATATTTCTTTCCTAATTTCTATTTTCAGCATCTAATTTAATTATTTCTGTATCAGAAAAATATCCTTTTTAAGATGCAAAAAAACAATCTTATTCAAATAAGATTTACTCAGTTGATTCTATTGTTTTCATCTATTAATCAGAATTCTCTATGCTTATGTCTAATTCACTCTCAGAACTTGCAGTCTATGCAAAACAACTTTTCTTCTTTGTCTGAAAATTACAAGACTTTTCTTACTCAGATTCATCTTAATTCTTAATTGTTTAAACTGATTATTGTTTTTATAGAAACTAACTTATTTTTCCACTCTTCTTTAAATTTCCCATAATTGAAACTGATGATTTGGCAGGAGTAGAAGGTCTTGATCGTGTCTTTTTTTCAGATTCATTTGTTTCTTCGGTTAGACTTGAAATGTGTCATTATTTTACTTACTTCAAACTGATGTAATCTGAAAATGAATTCAACCTATGAGAATTTCTTATAGAACTTGGACTATCCTTACTAAACTTACTTACTCTAAATGATATGCTACCAAAATTTTATATCTTTACTATCTATTACTAAATTCATATTTACATTTAAAACAATAATCTAACCTTTAATTAATTAAGCAATTCATTTACTCAATTAAATTAAGCGTACTTTGATCCTCTATACTCATTTGAGCTGCCATTATCTCATTTTGAGTTATCAAATGATCTAAATTATATTGTTCTTATACATTTTGCATCTAATTCTTGATTAACTACCTTCTCCCCATAACTTATTAATAATAATAATATTCTATATTCTTAATAAACCTATCTCGTATCTTCACATCTTTATATACCTTCATTTTTACGTAGTCTCAATTCTTTCATACTATATTCATTATATTTCTAATAATTACAATTTTAATCCTTGTTTCAGATGAATTTAATGTTTTTTCATATAAGCTTTTTCACACAAACGAGCAACTTATAAGTTTAATTAAACTAATTTCTTTCTTTATTCAGCATTATGTCTACATGTTTAATTATGAATATCCATTAAATTAATGTTGATGCTTTCATTGCAAATACGACAAATTATCAAATATTCCATTAATAAAATTATTTAAATACGGCATAATATCAAATTTTAAAGTTATTATAACTTATTTTAGATATTTAAACTAATCCATATAATAATAAAACCTATACATTAGATTACTACTCATAATTATAATAAAATTAATAATCAGAATCAAATTAATTACAATATATATTTTTATTCTTTCTTTATTTAATTGTTAAATACTTTAATCTTCATTTTAAGCAATTATATTGAAAAATTAAATTTTATATTTATAGATTTTAATTTATTAACATTTATATTGATCTTCTTCATTATTTATATAACATAAGATAAATAAGTTAATTTTTTATTATTTTAGTCTTAAATGATATTTTTAAAGGTTAATGCTAAATTTAAATTGTCAAATTATATTCAATTTTTTTTCATAAAATAAAGCTGAAATCAAATGCTCTACTTAATAGTAAAAAATCTATTAAACACATCATATAGATTATATTAATGTAGAAATATTGATGAATATATTATTTTGTTTTTACAGTAAAATAAATTAAAGTGAATAAAGTAATTCTCTATTAAATTACTTTATATAATCTAATAACTTTAAAAGAATCATGATTGTATATTTAATAACTAGTTTTATATAATCTTAGTAAAAAAATGAGTAATAAACTTAAAATATATTTTTTTAGTAATCACAATTCTTTTTTACTCTATTTAGTAATTATAAGGTCTTCAATTAATGAATTACAGGAATCTTTAGGTGTTTCATATTAGTCATCAGGTGTCTCATATAATTCAAGATTCTTAATTCCTGAAAACTTTTTTGTATATATTTATGCTAGAGGTGATTCATTGTCAAGTTAGGAAATGATGGCATCAAAATCAAACTTTGTTTGAACTTTAAGATTGTCGAACTTTCTATTCATTCTATGTATAATGTTAAATATTTTTAAATTATTATTCTAATTTTTACAAATTATATTATCTTTTTATAACATAATTCTATACTAGATTATGTCATTTGAATTGTCATTAAATTAATTGACCAAAAAGAATTAAATTAGTTTTGTCAGATTTAATAAGTATAAATTTATAGAATATTATAATAAAATTATTACCTTAGAATAAACTACATTTAATCTTTAATTATTATTATTATTGTTAATTCAAATTCATTTGATTTTAGGTATACTTTAGATGATAAAATATAATTTAATCTATCATAGAATATTTTATTTTAATTTCAGACTAAATAATATAATATAGTCTATATTAAATTAAATTATAATAAGTATAATCAAATTATTCTTGATACTAAAGATATTTACATTATATTATAAATTGTTAAAGTGTTGAAATATATATATAATACAAAATTTTTCATTGTTTTGATAGATGTTCTTTAAAGTGAACTTTGATAACTCCTACCTATTTTAAATTTGTTTAAATTCCAACATCATCATTTAATTAATCGTCAAAATCATCAAAGTCATTAAAATCATTAAATTTACTGATTTTTTTTTTTTGATTGTGTTTAACTTCATCTTGATAACATTTATCTCCTCTATCTTCCAAATCTCTAAATTCACCATTTTAAAAGATTTATCCTTATAATCTTTGACCAATTGGTTATTTAATTAGTGAAGATTCTCGAGAAATAGACTTTTTTGAGTTTTGTCGAGATCTTTGATAATTACTATCTTTAAGTCTACTATTAATTTTAGATACAACTGAGGGTACATAATTTAAAACAACAGATGATTATTATGAACTATATTGTTCTATAGCCTAAAAAGACTTTCTTTTTTCACTTTTTTTTAAATCAGGTATTTTTAAATAATCACCTTATAGATTTGAAATGTCAATATCATTAAAAGATTATTATGCCTAATCTGAAGATTTAGTAGAACTAGTTTAATTATCATTCCAATCAAATTTTCTATCAAAATTAATACCATTTTAAGATGCAATCTTTTAAAATATACTAAATAAGTATTTATAATCTGGAGTAGCTGCAAATTTTAATTTCTATACATAATCCATATATCTTTAAAATTCAGTTGGAAGTCCTTTACAGAGCTCTCTCATTTCTATTTCCATTTTCAATTTACCAACTAATTTAGTTTTTTCTCTGTCTGAAGAAGATGTAATATTTTACCATGGCAAATTTCCTATAATTAGATTAAATAGATACCTTTTAATAAGTAAATGAACACATATCCAAGACTTTCTAAATCATCTCTTCTTGATAATTCATAACCTTTATGAGCTGAGACACTAGCATAACGAGTTGTTCCCATAAAAGGCTTATTTTCTTAAAATTATCTAATAAATAATGTATATTATTTACATATGTTAACCATTAGTACGATATTTTTTGGATATACCATAATCCACAAGATAAACTTGTTAAGAATCAGTTCCTCTTCCCATTAGTATATTTTCTGGTTTAATATCTCTATGTATAACACCTCTTTTATATAGGAATATATATACCTTTTATGAACTTCTTCTATTATAGTGAGTAATTATTCTGCTAAGTTACAAATGGTTTTTAATGATAGTTTTCTAAATCTTTTTAAAAAATGTGCTAAGTCTTTTCCAAGTAATTGCATAGCCATACAATTTGAATTATATTCATTTCCATACCAATATAGTTTTGGAACTCCTGAAAATTAAGTATATATGTTTACCAACAATTCCTCTCAATTCTTCTATAATTTATATTTCTCTTTCTAAACTCATTAAATCACTGTTTTCTTTTTCAATTTTAATGGCAACATAATCTCTTGTAACTTTATCATGACAAATATAAACAACTCCAAAAGACCCTTTTAAATTTAATATTGTCTATACCTTGACTTAATTTCTCTTTTTACACAAATCTTCCATAATAAATCCTTCCTTTCTCTTATTGCATTAAAATTAAAAATAAATATAAAGCAGAAATATTAAATAAGATTTATAAAAGAGAGATTCCATTATTAGATATTAATTAACTAAAAATGATAATTTAATAATATTTTAATTTTATACGTGTTTGGAGTTTTTAGATGGTTATATTATCATTCTCCATCTTCATCATCAACAATAAAATTATTCATGGATCCTAGAGAATCTTCATCAATAGACTTTTCTTCATCTTATATTAATTTTTTTGTCCCTTTTTTAGTTTATTTCTTAGTTTATTTTTTTGATTTCTTAATTTTGGAACCTATTATATTTTCTTCTTCATTTTTTTCATTCTCATCTTCAATTTCTTTTTATGATTATTCAATTAATGGGGCCTCTTCTCCAATTAAAGGATTATAATTTTCACTCTAAAATATATTTTAATATATATACTAAATATCTTTCAGTATTGACTTATCTTTTTGATGCTTTTTCCTTTAAAATTAAATGTCTTTTATTATACATTTTAGTTAAATATGTTTTAATTTAAGCATTAACAGTACTTAATAAATTATCTTTTAATGGATTAAATACTTAATCATGAAGATCTTCTTTCAATTAATCTGGAGTAATACGATATTCTTCCATTATTTAAACTACATTCCAAACTGCATCTTTATCATTTTTAACTATTTTTAATTCTAAAAATTATTTAATTAATTAAAATAAATATTTAGAATATAATCTTATATCTGATGTTAAATAAGTAATTGGAGCTATTCTACTTTTAATTTAATGACTTTCTCTTTTAATTTTACTTGCAGTTGAATTCTTACCTAACCATTATGGAAATTTTGGAAAGTCCATCTATTCTCCAACAATAGTTGAAGGATAAACACTTGATAAGAATCCAAAAGATGGCATTAAAGACCATTATTAATCTCTTCTGATTTTCTTAGATATTATATCTCCTTCAGCTATTAATTCAGCTGCTTTTGCAATATTATTAATATCTGAATGATTTGATAAAATGTAACTATCCTAAATAATAAGAGGTATTAAATCATAATCTAAGAAAAACATATCTAACATATCTCTGAGTGACATTTATTTTCTTTAATTTCTATTAAGTAAACTTATAGCAGCATTAAATGTATTAAAAACACAAACTTTATCTTTTTTAAATGTATTAGGTTATAGTAATTTAGCTTTTGATTATAATTTTTACAATTCCAACATATTAATACTTTATCTTATATCACAATCAAAACATATAGCCAACTTCTCAAGATCTTCAATATTCATATTAATATTTTCTTATTCACAAATATATTTTAATCTTTTTGCAATTTATTTTGCATCTGGTTTCTAAAATTTAATGCTATAACAATGAGTTAATAATGATTTCAATTTTTAATTATCAATATCATTACAAATACAAATAATAGGAACTCTAGTAGATTTTATACATTCTATTAAAGCAGATATACCTCCTCTATCTGATCCAGTCATTCCATCTACTTCATCCATTACAATTAAAAAGTTTTTATTTGGTTTAAATAAATTCATAAGCACACTGTTGTCAACTAAATCATTTAATACAGACCTTAAACTTGTTTTATTTCTCTTATCTGATGCATTATTTACTATTAATTTCAATCCTAAAGCTTCAGCTACTAATCTTACCATTGAAGTCTTTCCTATTCCTGGAGGACCACTTATTATACAAGCTTTAGATCTTAATTTATAATTAAAATAAATACGTAATATTTCCAACAGGTTAAAATCTTCCCATTTTTAATGGAATAAATCTTTTTTTCTATTTCTAATTTTATTCTTCTACAGAATTTGGATGTTAGAATTTGTATATCCAATCATTTAATTGTGTTATACTTGATTTATTATCAACTAAATCAGATAATTATTATGGTTTATATTTATCTGCTAAACTAAGATTCTTATCATGATCTAAATTTACATTCTCCTATTAATCCAATTTCTTTGAACCTGATTTTTTGTATAATTTAGATAAGTTTGAGTCTGGGAATATCTCTTCTATTCCAACACCTATTTTATCAATAAGCCAATCATTAAGTTCACTTTCTCTTATAATTTTTGTTCCCTTTTTTGTAGCTTCTTTAAATTTATTGCCTTCATCTCCTTTTCTTCCATCTTCTAATTTATCTGCCACAATTAAATAATTAGTTTTTCCAGAAATACTACCAGTGACTTTAGCTCCATTATTCTTTAAAAACTATTCAAATTTATCTCTACTACAAACATTTAATACACCACTCAAAACTATTATTAATCCCTTAAGTAAATCTGGATCATTCTTAAATTCTTGTTATTTTTCTTATTCTATTTATTATTTATTTTCTTGCTTTAAAACTTTTGAGTTTTATTTTTCCCATGTTATATTGACAGCTCCTTTCTTTTTTTTATTTTATGGCTATTATTCAATTTGAATATTAAAATTTTATTTAATATCAGGTCCTAAATGTCTAGGAGATATATTTTTATTATTTTTCTCTAAATTTATTTTTTTTAATTTTTCAATTATTTCATTTCCACTATCTAAATATGTATCTTATTTTTATCTATTGGTTTATTCCTATTATGATTATGGTTAAATTGGCTTTTATGATGCTTATTTATTCTTATTCTATTCTAATATTTTTCTCTCTATTTCAAATTATTCTTGAATATTAATGTCATCAAAATTAATATCATTAGATCTTTTGATTATAGATTCTTTTTATTTTCCTTAAGAACCTTATTAGGGATTAAGAGCTACGCTTTTTCCAAAAAATTAAAATAGATTTGGTTAATTAGTTTAATTAGGTTATCTTTGAGCGGATGGTTTTTTTTATGATTATGATAAATTTGAGGGTTAAATAGATTGGGATTAATTTTAATTAGGAAACACATCAGAAATCTATGGTGTTTATTTCTCGTTTATAGATTATTATGATTATTTTTAAACTTATTATTATTATTCCTTTTATTTAAGTTAACCATTTTTGCTTTTTGCATCATACTTATAATTGTTAAGATTATACTCTTCTTCAATATCTGATAAAACTTCTGTATGATTTGATTTACTATCAGGAGAATTACGAATTAATCTCTTTCGGGAATTGCTCATAATTTTATTAATAATTTATAATCATTCTTAAATTTCTTCATATTAATTATTAAAATAGAATTCTGTTTCCAATAAATAAATTTACCATGCTATTAAAATTGGCTTCTTTTGTTCAGGATTACTTACTATATGATCATCTAAAACAGATAAGATTTCAAGCCATTTATTTTTTAATTCTTCATCCATTTTAGATTGATTAATTTTATCTATTTAACTTTAATATTCAAAAGCCCAATTCTCTCTTAATAATCCAAATTTCTATTCAACTTATTCATTATCTACTCTATATCTAATATAATATACTTTAAACATTTAAAAAATTATTCTATGAATTATCACTAAATATATCTAATTCTAAACAAAGAATTGAAAAACGATCAAATGATAAATATTTCTCTCCATCACAAACCAAATCAGCATTTTCTTAAAATTTACTAGATAATTTAATTTGATCATATTTTTTATTCTCAATATATTTATTTAAAGTTAACCATTCTTCTAAATTACACATACCATTTCCATCTAAATCGCTTGCATTAAATGCATTTATTACAAATGTTTATATATTTTATACATTATCTCTAAACAATCTTAATACTTTTAACATCATCTAATCAAAATCTAAAACTCCATCTCTATTTTATTATGTCACATCTTTTTCTACAATAGAATCCAATTCTTTTTTAAGTTATATATATTTATCTTGAGATTTAAAATAATATAGAGATTCTAAATAAGCTAAAGCTCTAATATAAGGAACAAATTATTAACTATTTGCTTCATTATTCTTTATAGTTGTGCCATAATTAGTCATGCTATTAATTAAATCTAATGCTTCTAAATATTTTTTCTATTCTTCTAAACTGAAATTAGAGCTATCCTCTAATAATCCTAAAAACCTTGCAAAAACATTTACTCTCACAATTGCAATATTTTTTTGTATCGAAATTAACAAAATCAGAAATTTTTATTCAGTTACTTTTGTATATCCAAATTATTTTAGATAATAATTATATATAAAGGATGCCATATCTTAATCTTTTAATAGTTTATTTTCTTTTTAACTTTATAGTTTTTCTTAGTATAGCGTTGTTATATATTTTAATACTAATTTTATAGGTATTGTATTTTATATCTATCCTAATTTTTTTTGTTTAATTTTTTCAATTAAATATTTTGATTAATTCTTCTAAAAATCATATGATATTGTTATCTAATATAAAATCAATATTTTTTACTCTTTATCCTAATAATGGTCCTTTACTTACTGTTGTTTATTACATTTCTTTTTATTTGATTATTCCAACTGTTTTGACATCAATTGATTTTATTTAATTATTCTCTAAATTTTCATTTTCAATATAATTCTTATCATATTTGATTTACTACATTTTTCCTGTTAATTCACTAATATTTAATTTTAATTATAAATTATCATTTTCAAGCTTTTAATTCAATTTATTAATTCCATCAATATTCTAATAATTCTCTTATAATTATTAATTTAATTCTTCAATTTAATTATTCAATTAAGTTATTCTAAATTTTTAAAAATTAATGAATTAAACTATTTATTTCTATTTAAATTCAATTGGTCTATGTGTTGATTATTTAATAGATTATCTATGCATTATTGATTATCTAGTAGTTTATTAAGATTATGGTTTTGTATTTTTAAAATCTAAATAATTTATTATTATTATTACCATTAGATTTTATAGATGAATCAGATAAAATTTCATAATTTAATGGAGTATTTGTACATTCAGTTTAATTTTATACAATTTCATCTAAATTAATTTGATAACTATTCTATTAATTAAAGTTATTGAATTCCAAAGCTAAATTTATAATTTCTTATGAAATATCTTCATATTTATAATCAATTAATTATAGTTCTGTTTGAACATCTGAATCTTTATAAAAATTAATTAATAAATCATTTTCCACTTATATTTCCATAGATCTAACTTCTATAATTTTCTCTTAATTTATTTATATCTAATTTAATGAATAACTATCATGATTTAAAGTATTATTAGATGAAAGAGATCTTTTACTTGTTTATTATTATTAAATAATCAATTAATTTAAATGTGTTATAGATTTATCTTTACCCAAAGGTGATTCTGAACCTTTACTTTACCTTTTATCTAATTTCTATATTTTATTTTCATAAAATTATAATTTAATCTACATTGCTTAATTGTCTAAATCAATTAATCTATATTTTTTAGTCTTATTCTCAAATTCAAGGTTTTTTTATTTCAATTATTTAATTAAATTACGTTCATTATTAAGTTAATCTCTTTATTCAGCCATAATTTTTGAACTTTCCATTTTTATTTTATTACATTCATTTTTTAATTCCTCTATTTATTCTTTTAGAAACAAGATTTCAATCTTTTATTATTTTATTATACCTTCTAATTCATTATTTTAATAGATTTCTGATTATTTAAAAGTATTTGCCTATAATTTATATATACCCATATGATTTAATTGAACTTCTCTCATAAATATCTAAAATAATTAACCTAATTCTTTAAAATCTTCTTGTAATTAAGATGTAATAAATAATTCCATTTTAGATAAAATCTCTTATTTGTTTAAACCATTAACTTAAGATAAAAATTATTTTTCAGCATCTTTAATCATTAATCTTTTGTTTTCATCAGAGTTGATTGTGACTCCCTTTTCAAATGGAACAACAGATGCTAATTTCCTTTAATAAGTTGTTCCAAACCCTTTAATTTTAAATCCAGATGAATTCTATGTTGTTCGCAATTGATTTTAAGATTATTTATTTCTCTGATCTAAAAACTAAAATGTTGCTATCAATTAATATTAATAATTACATTATCTATTACGAGTTTATTCCAAAAATTCAGTCAATATTTTTTTACAATTTTATGTTCCCCTTTCATTTTCACATATGCTAGTATTATAATGGCTTCGAGATGTTTAACTACCAATTTTAGAAGTTTATTTTCTTTAAATGGATCTACTCGAACTAGCTCCAAATAGAGATTTATCATTTAGATAGCCATTTCTATCCATTATTTTTCTTAGATTAACTAAATTAATATATATTTCAAATTATCATAATCAATTAAGATATTTCTGATTTTAGTGAATGCTTTCATTTTGAAAAAAGAACATTTTAATAAATTCCTAAACTATGAAAACATAAAGTAAATTTAATAAGCATTAAACCTTTCATATTTTTAATTATATACAGAAATAATAGATCTATAAATTAATATGATGTTAATTTTAAAAAATTTTATAGTTAAATTATAATAAAGCACACTTGAAATAAATGCAATAATTCCAATCACTATTATCATTATTTTATTATATTATATAATATTAATTTATATATTTATTTTATTTATCTGTTAAATTAATAAATGATAAATTCTGTTTTTCAAAAAATAATACATAAATATTCATATTTATCTCAATCTGATTCATAATTCTTAATTTATTATACAAAAGATAATACTTTTTTTATTGAAATATAACGATATGATATAAAATGAAAAACTATATATATGCTTATAGATGTTATTTCTTATGTACGAATATTTACAACTTTTTCATTAATACTATTAAATTTTCATTTTCTTTTTAACCCAAAGTGAGCCTTAAAAATCAATTAAAATATTATATTAAATTAATATATAATTTTATTAAAACACAAAAGTAGGATACATTAAAACATCATTCAAATTTTTAATTTGCTATATAATATTATCTGATTTTCAAGTTAGTGATGTTTATTGTTTTTAAAGAGAAGATTTATGAATATATCGATAATGTTAATATCTTTGTTTCAATATAATTTAACAAAAATCAATGTTAATAATTTCTATAAAATATTAATTCAATTTAATAAGATATTTTTATTTATATTAATGTATTGTATTTTTCATATTTCTTGATAACATCTTTATGTAAAATTCATTATTTTTAATTTAAACTGTTTTTAAGATTACAATGGGATGCAACATATAGAAATAAAAGAATAAGTAGCCAACTCTTGGATTATCAGTATATATATTTTAAAATAAAGTATAGATTTAACATAAAGAAATACATTCTAAAGAATAATTATAAACTCCAGATACATAGGATGTTTAAAGTCCTAGATAATAAAATATAATAGTCTTAAAGAAATTACTTGCTTCATCAAGTTTAAACGTTGACCAAATCATTAAACCAGTTTTGAAAAAATACTCACATTCTTTTTTAAGCCGAAGTAAAAGATCATAACAAAATTGATTTTAAGGAAGTACATTTTTGATATACTATAATAATAATTATATTATATTTATTCAGATTGGATGAGTCAAGTCTTGTTTAAAAAATAAAAGATTTAGGAAAATAAATGATGGAATATTTTGAATTAATGTATAGGTATGTTGTAGAATTATATTTACTAATCTTTCTTTATCGCAATTCTAAATAAATCAAGTAATAAAGTATATAAAATCATATTTTTGATAAGAAATATTAATGATAAAATTATTGAAGTAATTTTAATTAATAAGGAACACATAAAAAATAAATTTAATTACTTGTTGTCCTTTTACAAGTAGCTATAAATAAGAAGCAAACATTGTTTTATGTGATGCTTTAAATGCTATAATGGAAGAGAATTTAAGAAATAACAAATTGGATATTTTATCTTAATATTACACAAAAATATGGGAAGGTAGATTAGGATTAGTAGAAAATAAAATATTATTTTGTTAATTTTTAGAAAATTCAAATTAAATATTACGTAAAGAATTCGCCATAGATAAAATTGAAAAGGATGATAATATTAGAATAAATAAATCTATATAAATATTTCATGTTTTTAACACTATTACTGAATTATAAATAATAAGATGGGAAGGTATCTAGGATTTATTTCAATGGATTAGAAATGAAAGTACATACCAATTATTTTAGAGAACAAACAAATAACATATATATCTTAAATTTATACATTTATTATATGTCAATCAATATGATATTTTAGAATTTCATAATAATATAGAAAATGCTTTATTTCAATTTAAAAAGGTAACACCATAATTTGTAGATGAGAGATTAGAATATTATAAAGCTATAAATATGTTAAGATAATTTGATAAAATAGAGAAAGCACATTTAAAGATGACTATTTTGGAATTAAGTAAGTTGGAAAATAGATAAATAGGATATTCATTAGAATAATTAGATATATTATCATAATATATTAATTTAGTATGTGAAGTGTTTTTTACAAATTTATTATAAAAAAGAGATATTTTCAATTTTGTATAAGAAGATGAAGAAGAAGAAGAAGAAGATTAAGATTTGGATGATTATACTCTTATTGAACCATTAAATAGATTAATCAGATTATTTTTATAATAAGATGCTTTTTATTATAAAAGATCTATTTCAAGTTATAGAGATAAATTAATTCAGAAAGAGGGATATTTAGATTTAGTAGATCCAGTTAAATGGAGACAACTTATGTCTGTATCCAAAGGATTATGGGTATTAACAGATGACAATAAACATGATAGATCTTGCATTGATCTATTAGAAAATGCTATTTTTAGAAAATTGGAAACAGACACAGCATCAATAACTGATGGAATTGATATCATCAATTATATTTAGGATATTCATGAAATGAGATAAGGACATCAATTTTTAGTATTTAGTTAGAATAAATTTAGATATTAAAATCTATTTGTGATTAAATTAATAATTAAGAACTCTAAGATTTATCAATTACTCGTTAAAATTTACCAAGTTTATTACATTAAATGTTGACTTTAGAAAGAAAAGCAGAAGAATTTGAATTGGCTTTTATTTAACCGGCATTACATAAATTAGAAACTTGGATTAAATAATCTAAATTTGATTAAGAATTAAAAATGTGTGATTGGTATGATCTCTCTATGGTAATAAAAAAACATGAATATCATGAATTAGACGATTATGTGAATAAAAAATTAGAGTAATCATGAACATAGATTTATAATATATATTAATATTATCATTAACAATTATTATTTAATAATTTTAATTATGAATTAATAAGAAAATGTGATCTAAAGTATTTCAACTAAATCCAAAGAATATAAAGAAGAGTGTAGACAACTCTTAGAACGAATTGTGGCACTATAACTCAAAGTATTTAAAGCTCCTGACTTATATGTGAAAGAAGTTTTAAGTGTTGTTGAATTATATAAACAAGTAAATAATTAATAATATAAATTAGTAATTTGAGTTAGTTAAATAAAATCCAGGATAAAATAATGGTAAATTTAGTATTATTGCTTAATTTCTATCAAAAGTTGCTATTTATTATAAGACAGATTTGAAATTTTACATAGAAGATTTAATGGAACTTATTAATCACTTTTAAAATACATTAAATTAAGGTTTAAGAAAGAAAATCATATTTTGTTTGTTGAGATTAAGAGGAAAAAATTTAATTGAACCTTATAGAATGATTGTTTTTTTAATGAAATTATTTAATTGTTAAGATAAAGATTTAAGAAGAATAATCTTTAGATTCATTATTAAAGATATAAAATAGTTTAATAAGAAACATAGAAATGAAACATTGAATAAATAAATATAAGTATAATTATTTAATTATTTTAGAATTTTATTATTGATTTAATTAAAAAATCATAAGAGAATATTGCTAAAAGAGCACTTTAAATAATGATTGAATTATATAAAAAAAATATTTGGAAAGATAATAAATGTGTAAATATAATTGCATAAGGATGTTTTAATTAAAATTACAAAATTAAATTATTGGCTTGTTATTTCTTAATATAAACAACAGAAACTCATGTAGAAATAGAGTCATCAGAGGATGAAACAGATAAATATATTTAAAAAAAAGGAAAAAATAAATGTGTTAAACCAACTAAAGCTAGAGAACATAGAGTAGAAAGAGAAAAAAAAATGGCAGATAAAAAATAAAGAAAAAAATTATCAAAATTGAATAGTAGTGGAGGATTCTTTGCTTTAGATTAAATTTATTCTCCCTAAGATTTTGCTGAAAGATTATTTGATAATTTAAAAAAACATGATAGTGAAAGATTCTCTGTCAAATTAGCTATGATGCATTTGATATCTAGATTAATTCATAGACATAAATTATTAATAATACCCTTTTATACTTTTATATAAAAGCATTTATATCCAAATAGTAAGGATGTTGGAAAATTATTTGCTTATTTAGCAGAAGCTATACATGATTAAATTCCAAAGGAAGACTTATAACCAACTATTAGACATTTAATTGATCAATTTGTAAATGATAGATGTTAAGAATTAACTTTAACTATGGGTTTAAGAGGAATATATGAAATATTATAAAAACACCCAAAGATTTTAGATAAAGACAATATTACTTATTTAATTCATTATATTAAATATAAAAATAGAAATGTCAGTTAAGCTGCAAGATCTATATTGAATCATTTTAAAGATACAAATCCTTAATTATTAGATAAAAGATTAAGAGGTAATAAATGGAAGAGTACAGAAGAATTGGATGGAGATTTTGATGATAATTTTATATAATAAATAACAATAGGTATAGATGGAGCAGAATTATTATAATAAGAAGAAGAAGAAAGATTGAATAAGAAATTTGATACTCCTATCTATTGTGATAGAATATTGACAGATGAAGATTTTAAAAGAATTAGAGCATTAAAAAGAAAGAAAGAAGCTGAAATAGAATAAAATAAACTTTAAGAAAAATAATAAAAACATTAATATATTGAATAAGAAGAAGATAATGATGAAGATTTTATTGAGGATGAAGATGATAATGTTGATGATGATATTTCAGAAATTAGTGGAGATAGTGCAGAATTAGATGATGAAAATGAAGAATGGGAAGATGAAAGTATTGAAGATGAAGATATTGATGATGATGATATTAAACCTGATAGTAAAATTACAAAAGAATAAAATAAAAAAAGGAGATAATCATTATCAGATTTAGAAGAAGATTCAGTTTAAGAGTATTATTCTGATGAAAGTTAAATGTCAGATGAAAATCCTCATGGTTATGTAAGAGAAGAAGATTTAATGAGATATAGAAAAACTAAGTCAGAATAAAAACATGAAAAGTTAGAAGAATTGAAAAATGGAACTAAAGAAAAATGGTATTTAATTTATTTATATTTTTAGGTATTAAGGTCCTAATAAAAAGAAATCAGAATTTGCATCAACTTCAAATAAAGAAAAATAAAAGAATAAACCATTATAAATGATGAGAGCCAAGAGAGTGGAATAAAAGAATAAAGAATCAAGAATTAAGAGCAAAATAAAGGATTTAAAAAATAAATTAGGACATGTTAGAAGTGGAAAACAAGCTTAAAGATTAAAAAAATAGAAAATTAAATGATTGTATGTGTATAATATAATTAATTATAAAATTTCATTAAAAATGAACTTAGAATAAGAAATGATCTTCAAGAAAAGAGAGATGTTTAGAGTTCAAATAAGGAGAAAATAAAATGAACTAATATTTTAATAAAAGCGCCAATTATTCAATGAGACATCAAATTCATAGGATTGGTAAACACCAATGGATTAAATATTTTAGTAAGCATTAGAATCAAAAATCATAACACCTGATTAAAAAGGATTGTAATAATTATTTACAAATTTAAAAAACTTAGTGAAATTTGATTACTCAATCAATTCAAACTTAAAGTCCTTTTTATCCTTTATGTTTTTCAATTTATAATATATCTAATTAAATGAATAAGAAAATTGGATTACAGATGACTTTTTAGATGTAATTATTATTTGTTTGTAAGATGTTTTACAAACATTTTAAGAATTAGAATAAAATGAGAATACACTTGATTTTGATCAAAAACTATTTGATTTACTTAATAATATTCTGATTTTCATATCATAATTGTCATCTTAATTAACAATGAGTAAATAATCAGCTTAATTAAAATAAATAGTTCTATTTATTATTACTATTTTACATTACTTATATGATAAAAACTAATTCGAAATTGTATGCAAATTAATAATAAATGTTGTATTAGAAAGATCAGAGGAATATATTTTTTTAATATAATAAAGTATATTCCCATAAATATTAATTCATAAATATGAAGAATTAAATCTCCAATAAAATTATAAAATACTATACTAAATATATTTATATTTTGGTTAAATAACTGGAATATGTCATTTAAAATATGGAACTTAATTATTTTAAGACGCTTACTAATTGTCAAATATAATAAATTCTCAACCTTTGAATGTTGATCAAAATTATTATAGTTGTGTGGAATAATATTTATACTTTCTTTATAATATTACTTTAAATATAGAAGAAAATAAACCTAGAACTTATTAATTATTTAATATTTTGATAGACAAAGAGATTGTTATGAATGTGGCCAATTTCTTACTTTAACTTAGATATGAATTCGAGGAAATACATGAATATGGATTTAAATTCTTAATAAATTTGAGTATGATTTAATCATCATACTCAATGGAAAAGTTGATAAATTAAAATGTTTTTAAATTGGTCTTATTTTAAATAAACCATCAATTGAGTTAATAATATTTAATATATCCATTATTTTCAAATTTATTGACTACAAATAAACAATAAACTAAATAGATGATTTTTGATTCAGGCATTTTAGGTAAGACATATGTAGGATTTCAAACTGCTCTAAATAATCATTCACAATAAGGATGTCTAGAAATAATTCAGTGTATTATAAATATGTTTTAAAATATCACTCTATAATAATAGTTATAATTAATTTAGAAAGGAATGTTAGAATGCTTATTTGATTATATAATTAAATAAGATATGGATTAATTAGATTTAAAAACAGTAGAAGAAATATATGGAACTTTATATGAATAAAAATAACTAAATCCATAAGTATAATTTACAGAAGAGTTTAAAAATAAATCTGAAAAAATTTATGAAAATTTAGATGATGATTGCGATATAGCATTTTTTATTAATAATATATTAAATATTACTGATTGATTGCAATTGCATGTTTATAATAATTTATCAAAATTTTCTTAATTATGAAAAAAATGGAACCAAAATAATTAGATTAGTCTTCATCCTTAAATTGCATGTTTAGTGAAGATGAATTAGATAATATAGATGAAATTTTGGTAATAATTAAAATTGAGATGTGTAATATAGTCATAGAATGATAGTCCCATTAAATGTCCTCCATTAAGTGAAATTACAGATGATTGCAGTAGTGTAATTTAAAATGAAGAATAAAGTGAATATAATAAAATTAAGAATTAGATGATTAACAATAAAGAATTAATTAAAGACATAAGAATACTGTACAATTAGTATTAGATGTTAATATGGTAAACTAATAGATTTAAAAAAATGCTCGTAAAGCCCATTCAAAAGAATTTTTGAAAGAATTGGTCTCAAAATAAAAAAACAGATTTTAAATGGATGGATTTAATTTAGATTTAACATGTAATCTATCTTAATTATAAATGATATTACACCATAAATAATTGCAATGGGATATCCAGCAGACAATTTTGAGTCTTTATATAGAAATTCATTAGATGAAGTATAGAGATTTTTGAATACAAGACACCCAGAGAAATACAAGGTTATTAATTTGTAATAAAGATAAATAAAATTATAAGGTGTTCAGAAAGACAATATAGACATGATTTATTTTATAAGGTTGTTGAATTTCCATTTGAGGATCATTAACCTCCTCCTTTCTAAATAATATTACCATTTTGTTTAACAGTATCAAAATGGTTAAAAAAATAAGATCGAGTTGTTGCAGTGCATTGTAAAGCAGGTAAAGGAAGAACAGGCACAATGATAAGTTGTTATTTACTATTCTCAAAATAATATGATTCTTCAAAAGATGCTTTAAAATATTATGCTATGATTAGAACATAAAATTAGGAAGGAGTAACGATACCCAGTTAAGCAAGATATGTAGAGTATTTTAATATTGCTTTAAAAATGAATTTATTGTATGTACCAGCTAGAACAGTGGAATTAATAGAAGTTAGATTAGTAGGATTACCAAATTTTGGAATTTTTGGAGGGTGCAGTAAGATATATAAAATATTAATTATAGAACCATTTATAAGAATATAGAATGAAAATAAATAATTAATCTAATAACCAACAATATTGACTAATTAAGATTAATAGAAATAATATAGTGCAATATTTAAATTTTAAGGAGTTTACTTAAATGGAGATGTAGTTGTTCAATTTTTTCATAAATCAATTGTTTTGTAAATATATTAATTAAATAAGATTAGAGAAGAGAAAATGTTTTAGGCATGGTTTCATACTTCATTTATTATGATGAATCCATAACTCTAAATTTTCAATCGAGATGAATTGGATGGAGTAAGCAAAGATAAACAATTTAAAAAATTTCCAATGAATTTTAGCCTAGAAATTCTATTTGATAAAGTTGTTGCTATTCGTAGAAGATCAGATTGTATTAAATGAAAAATATATACTAAAATGTCATTGTAAAAATAATTTCTCATATTCTAATCTATAATTATCATATAAAACCAGACTTTCATTTTCATTTTTTATTTTTTATTTCCATCAACTATTACAATAATCATAATTTAAAAACATAGCCTCATTTTCTATAAACTTTGGCAAATTATTCTCTTTCAGGAAATCAAACTCTTACAGGTTGAATATGATCTAACAGTTATTTGACTAACATCTTCATCTATAGTTATTATTTTTCTGTTACTTCTAAGAATCCAATATAAAAATATCTTTTGTCCTTGATTTTCAAAAAAATCTCTAAAAAATGAGGATTTTTTTGCCTTCATTTAATTTTTATATTTGAAGATTTAAAAAGTTTTCTTTAGGAAATTGTTTATCATCATTGACTATGATTCTAGTATTCAAAATATAATTAATGGAAAATTTATAATTTTGTCCAATAAAGATATCAACATTACTATTATATTTCATGATAGTTCCATTATTACTCTTCCTATCTCTTATTCTTTGCCAAAAAATCATTATTTAGAGTATTAAACATAAAAATTTTTTGATAGCCTTCTGGCAAAGTCTCAATTCCTTTTAACTACTCTTTGGGAATATTCACTTTTAAGTTGTATTCCATATAGCATACTCTAATTAATCCAGATTCATCCAAAATTAATAAATATCCAACATAATCCATACCAAATTGTACATCAATAATTTTAGATTTTGTGAATGATGGAACTATTCCATTTATTATGGCAGGACCTGAAGATGTATCATAAAAAGCTAGCTCTCCATTAGACATCACTATTATTAATATATTTTTAAAAGTGGAAAATACTATATCAGTGATATTTGCTTTGATATAATTATAGTGGTTTTTTTTAAAAGCTTTGGGAACAAGTGATACCATTTCCCAATATTGTATCTCATTAGCCTTGATCTTTTCCAACCCTAAAGTTAATACACACTGAAATTCTTCAGGATCAAGGATATTAATATCAGATTCATCTATTTCTTCATCTTAACGTATTTCCTTTTTTTCTCCTCCCTTCTCTAATTATTTAAACTATTTCTTCTTCTTCATAATTTTTAATAATTCATCAGTATTATATTTTTTCTTTCCTTTTTTACTTTATTCCATTAAATCTCATTCTTATTCTTTAAATTAAACTTCATATCAGTTATGTTTATCTTAATCTTCTCTCCTCTTAGATCATAATACAATTTCTTTATTTAATCGATAAGATTAGTTGTATTCCTTAAAAATTTAACTCAATTCAAAATAATATTCAAATTATGCTAATGGGTTGGCAATAGAAATTTCATTAGCAGCTTCACTTTATACTTTCCTTATCTGTTTCAGCTTCCAAAAATTCCCTATCTATCAAATAGTTTTAAGTCCTTTTTAGATTTTTTCCTTTTAATAATAATCTTTTCTTTATTATTTGAGCATATGCATTCAATTTCTCATTCAAAAATTTTGCTTAATATATTATCTACTACATAATCCACTATCATTCTACATATTAATAATAGTTTCAGCATTTCTCTAATTTTTAATTTAATTTCTTATACTTTATTTAAGTATTATTTTATTTCTCCATAATATGGTCTATCTTAAACTTCAATATTGCATTATTCCTCATTTATTGAACCTATTCTTTAAACTCCATCTTATAAAAAACTTTAATCATCTCAAAACATGCATTTTATTCTTCTTAGCCATGTTGTTTAAATTGTAATTCAATCTATACTCGTCTAATTTCTCTTCATCCATTATAATGTTCTTTTTCAATATTTTAATAGAGGTGCATCCCCCAATTTTATCTAAGTTAAAAAAATCCAATCCTTTCTTTTACAATTCCTTATGAAATTTCTATTCTTTTAAAATCCTTTCTTATTGTTCATTCAATTCAAATTTCTTAGTTTTTCAGAATCTCTTCATAATTAAGATCTAATTGTCTTTATTCTTCTTCTGTCATCCAATATTGCATTAGATAATATAACCTTATCTCTCTTACTTATCAAATATTAAGGTATTCCCTTTCTATTTAATTCATTTTCAAGTATTTTCTTGAATTTTTATCCTTCTTCTCTGCCAGTTTCCTTATTGCAGCCAAATCTAACTATATTCTTCATTCTTTTACTTTAATGCTTCAATCAATTTCTCCATTTCTATTTTCTTTATAACTATTTTTTCTACATCAAATTCTTTTGCAAATAAACATTGCTCCTTCAATTTATCAACTTCAGCTTTTTAATCTTATTCAGTTTCTACATTATTTAATTAATCTATTCCCTTAATTATAATTATATATTATATAAACAATAGATGTAAAAAATATAAATGAATGTCGATTTAAACTAATCTTAAATTATAATAATTTCAACTGGCCATTTCTTAATAGAATTGAAAATTTCCATACGATTTTCTTTAAAATTAATATCATATGATTTATCCTTAAAACTTCTTCAGAAATTTTATTTTTATCCTGTGAATTTGTCAATTAGTTTGTCTTAACTCAATTTATGTCTAAGCCAAAAACATTATTATTATTCCTTTATTATTTCTAATAATAACTTTATTGTTAATGATGCTAAATTATACAATATAAGTGAATTTTCGCTATTAGTTTATATATAATTTAAAAGAATTTTGGTAAATTTCAGTTTATCTGCAATATTTGATTTCTTTTTTAACTTAATATCGATTTATAAATTATTTTTATTTTATTTTAGACCTTAGAGCTTTATTTTTGATTATAGTTGTCCAAGTACTGACCACTAATATTTTATCACTACAATTTTAAGCAGTTTCCATTTTTTGCATTGTTTGTAATTCATGTCACTTACAATAAATTTAGAGAATAATTTTTTAGAAAATAATATAAATATTCTAGTACTAATTTTTTACATTAGGAATCATGTATATGAATCAATTAATCAATGAATTTAGTAAATAATCTCTATAAACAATATAATATTGCTATTTTACATTCTATGAATGAATAGTTCAAAAGATATCGAAAAATGAATGATTTCTTGTAAAATTAATAATAAATAAATTTTATTCCTCATATGATATAAATTCCTTATGCAAATCAACAAGTATCATAGATTAAAATTGCTGAAAGCTAAATAACTAATATCGACAAGAATATCATAAGAGTATTACAACTATTCTCTATTACTGGATAGTTGGATATGGATATTGAAAATATAAGTAATTAAGATCTTAATCCAAGGACTTGAATTATCAGAAAACTCTAATTTTTATCCAGAAGCATTATTTACATATCTTAAAACTTTCACTTCAAATACCCTACAAAACTCAAATCAATAAAAATAAAAATTTTTCGATTTCTCAGTAAATTAAAAATATGTATTTAGGATCTTTAATCTTCAGCCCCTTTAGTAATTAATATAATTAATAGTTCAAAAGACGGAATCATCCAATTTCAAAACTTAATATCATTTTTGAACGAACTTTCTTAATCACCAATAAATATTAACTAAATTAGATGCTTAGAAAGAATTTATCATGTTAATTAATATGCATTTTAATAAGATTAAGCAATAGATTCACTTAATAATGAATACCCTTTACCATAAGATGTTGCTCCAATTTCTAAAAATAAATAACCTTAGATCTAGGGTACAACAAAAGTACCATTAGCTAAATAAGAAAGTCAAGAAAAAGTGAATTCCGGAGAAGGATTTAATTATACCACTTTCAAAAAACTTATATTATCATAATCAATTCCTTTAGCTAAATAAAAAGCTTAAAAGAGAAAATTAATATACGAAACCAATTAATAGTAAAAAGTCCATGTTGATGTCTTAAGATAGTTTGCCAAGTTGTTATAATATGAATTAGAATTACTCGATAAATCTGAATAAATTCGATTGCAATTAAATACTGATAAAGGTTTTAATCATGTTGGAATGTTTAATATCCTGGATGTTCATGGTAATGGAGAAATTGAATTTAACTTTATTGAATAATTGATGAATAAAGCATAAATTCCATTCAAACCACAAGCTTTTAAAGCTTTAGTTAGAAGAACTAACTTATTGAGTAATTGTAATTCTCTATCTGAATGTTTGGTTTTTGAAGGCTTCCGATTATTGACATCAGTTTAAAATCCTTATTTTAAAATTCCAAAACCAGAAATTGAAACTCTGCCATCAAATATAGAATATTCAAGGATTCTTGGTACAGAAGTAACAGGTCAAAATTCTTCGTAATTATCAATCTCAAGAATTCCTGACAAACTAAAAAATTCAACCCAAAATTATAGATCAAAGCCTATCATACCCTTATATAATAGTAGCAATCCTTATGTAAATGAGACGTTAAAAAAACAAAGTAAAATTTAAGACAGCTAAAAATAAAATTATGATACATTGTAGAATGATTATGTAATAGAAAATTATTAAATATTAGATTGTGTATGGAACAAAAAGAGAATGGGAGGAATTGCAACATTCAATGAATTCAGGTGTACTTATAGATACTCAATCATTAAAATCATAAATTCAAAGAATTCAAAATTCCTAAATAAATTTCTAATCAAATGGTTCAAACAGCAAAGCTCATACTTAAGTAGAGAAAACTGAAATATAATAAATATAATAACAAGCTCTTGAGGAAGATTTAGATAGAAGAAGAAATGAAGAATTGTCAAAGTAATTATAACATGCTATGAATGCAAATACAAAAGGATATTATTCTAACCTTGTAAAAATTGAAAGGGAGAAAAAAGAATCTGAAGATATTAATTAATTTGTTGTGTAAGCTCCTTGGTATCAAAATGATACAAAAATCAATAAAAATGTCAATTTAATTAAATAATAACAAGAATAAATCCATAAATTTTCAGGCCTAAATTAACCTAGCACTTCAATAAATTAAAGTTAGCAAAATTTATAAAACAATAATTCCTCTAAGTTACCACCTAAAGTACCAAAAAAGGAAGGAGCCTAATCAAATATTTAACCTCTATAACAATAATAAAATAACAATTAAGAATAACCTGCATAATCTTAGATAGTATCTTAACAAGATGTTTCTCCTATAAAATCAAGAATTTTTTCATCATAAAAATAAAATCCTTTAATATATTAAGATAATTTACAATAAAAAATTATGGATTATAAATGCGATATCCCAACTAGATAATTTGATTATTAAAACTGAAATATTTTATTTTTTGTCAAATATGTGTCATATTTCTATGTTTGATAGTATTGATTAATATTAATACTAATCATTTTTAATTGTATTCAAAGTATATAATAATTTTATTAATTATTTTATTAAATTGTTTCTAAAGAAAAAATGGTAAAAATATGATTAATACTTAGGATGGCGAAGATGAAATGTAGAAATAAGCAAGATTAATGGCTGAGAAATATAAGGATGGACCTAAAAAGAAAGGAGCATTAGTGAAAAAAACTCAGGAAGTACATCTTTAATATTTACAAATTAGAGAACATAATTTGATTCAGCTACACACGAAATGCAAAAATAAGCTTAACAACATCCTCCTAAATGATGATTCGATTATTATTACAATATTATTTAATAATTAAATCTCTTTTCTCACTATTCATTTTACTTTGAGATTATTCTAAGATGATCACTTAATAATTTCTTTCAATATTTAGAAAATCATTTTCTAAAAATTGACACCTTCAATGTTATACATCAAGCTATTACAGGTAAAATACATTTAATCGAGAAAAACAACTAGAACCTTATTGTTAAAAAAAAAACTGAACAAGTTTACAGAAGAACACACTTATTATTTTTATTTGCTCTATCTCCTTCAAAATTAAGTTTTACTTTAAATCTTTATTAATATTATCTTTATTTAAAGTGATACCATTCATCTTTGTATAATAGATATTAAAATTATAAGATTAAAAAATTATTTCTTTCAGTATTATACTTTTACATCAATAAAACAATCTTCAAAAGAATATCATAAAAAACTAAATTTACTGGGATTTTGAATAGTTTTATTACATTTTTTCAAATAACTTTGAAATACAATTCAAACAAATATGAAAAAGTAGAAATTCAATTTATTCAATTAAAAAATACTCAAAAAGGAATCTTTTGTTAATTATAGTCTAAAAACTTATCAAAACAAAATTTATTAAATATGCTTATAATTCACAATAAAAGAAAAAATGATCATTAGATGCTTTTATTTTATGATTCATAACTTAAATGCAAATGCTCAATATACTAAATAATATTAGTAACATTCTTGATTAAAAATATCTGAAACGATTAATACATTCCACGAAAGTATAAACTTGGACCCTCATTATTTGATATAAAAAATACTCCATAATTATGAAATTTAAGTATCTGATAAATGTATAAAATTTCAAATGAGTTGATTTTTTTAATTAAACTCTAAGTGTTTTAGACATAAGAATGAAAATTCAAATATTAAATTTCTTATCTTTTTGTTTGATAACAATGTTTCAATATTTTTTCTGCTAACAAATACTATTTAATGCAATTAAGATTTCATATCAGAGATTGAACTTTTATAAAAATTAAATCTATTAAATTCATATAGTTCTAAATCAAAAATTAACATTATCCTAAAACTAGCATATAACTTATGAAAGCCTATATGTATTTTTGAAAAATGATTTTATGATGTGAAATTAATCCAAAGTTTCTTTTAGAATTAGAAGGTAAAATAAAATAAGGGAATAAGATATTCATAAATATTTAAATATTCATTTTACATGAAAATTATTCTTAGTTGTAATAATAATTATTATAATTACTTGTTTATTAACAATAAATATTATATTAAAAAGGAATATAATAAATAATATTTAAATAATAATATTTAGTGATATTATATAACTATAAATTTTTGTTATTGAATATAATATAAGTAATCTTAATTGATACATAATAATCAATAATTATAGTTATAGATGTTTAGTATTTATATCCCTAATACTTAAATTTACAGGAATATTGCAATTTCCATTTTTTTAAATATAGGTGTATATTCATTTTAACCATTTTATTTGTTTATATATTTACAAGAATCTTGGAAAATATATTATTTTACATATTAAATCCAATGGTATTTTTTATAAAGTCATTGTCATGATCACATTATCCAGACCAAATATAATATTTTTATAAAATTTATATTTTATGTTACTTATTTCAATGATTATTTTATACAAAAAAGCTATACATTCTAATTGTCAAGTTTTTGGATCAAATTCATTTATAGCATTAATAAATTTATTAGAATGTTATAAAATAATTACAGGATAAATTAGGTTATAAGGACGAGATTTCATAAGAAAATGCAATTGATTAATTGATAGATATATAATTGCATTAATAAATTCTCTATTTAGAGAGGTAATTAAGTAACTTCAATAGTTATATACACACAAATATCTTGAGTCAACCAATAAGACTATTTTATTAATTCAATAAAAACTCATTTTTACTTATATTGAAGAGGATACAAAAAACATACCAATATGATAGGAAAGCTATAGAAGCTAAAAAGAAAATTTAATGAAACTTAATCAGTTTAAGTAGAAGGGAATATAATAATCAGAGATTCTAATGTGTATTAATAAAACTTTCAATTGTAGGAAGAAATAAGTATAAATTTGTTTCATCAAGTTATATAACATTATATAAAAAAGAACATAAGTAATATAATTAAAATCATGAAAATTTCTTGCAGATTCCAATTTATTGACTTATAATGTTTTAATTTCAATTATTGAGTTTTATCTAAACTTTTTAATAGTTATAATA